TAGTATTTTTAGAATACCATCATATTGATCATTAAAAAAAAAATCATTATTTATAGTAAATTCAGAGTCCAGTTCCTCATTTCCTTAAAATTTACATGAAGGAAGATTATGAAAAAAAAGGGGAGTTGCTAAGTCCTCTTTCTCAATATACTCACACACCAATTTCTTAAATTCAGGGATAGCAAATCACTATCGATTATTCTAGAACCAGCTGTTTTGTGTAGAGTGACGGTGCTGTGGTCTGCGGGTCTGTGAAAGTATAGCAAGATGGTGAGCACTACTGACTCTGGAGTCAGACTGCCTAGGTTTTCATCCTTCGCTGTGTCTATCAACTGTGTGATCTTGGGCCAGTTACTTGACTTCTCTGGGCCTCAACATCTTAGATGTAAAATGGAAATGATAATATCTCTAAAGTTGTTGCAAGGATTACTTGAATGAATATAAAATTTTTAGTGCAGTGTCTAAAATCTGAAAAGCTCTGTATAATGTTAGCTGTTGTTTTTGTTTGATGTTGTTGCTTTTACTTAGGAAAAAAATTGCTTTCCTTGTCACTAAGAGTTGTAAAAATGCTTTCTTAACAAATATTATTTTAGTTCATCTTGACAGATTCAAGTGGTTCATTCAGTAGGATATGTTTTTAGTTCATTCTGTATATAATTTATTGATTGTTAAAAATCTGTGATTAATTTGTAGTCAGATTCTGGGAGTTTCTCTATGCCTCATATGTTTTAATAGATGACATTGGAAAACAATCTAAATTAAAGATGTCTTCAATATTTTTCTTTGCTTTCAAGAGTCAAATGACTCAATGTTTTCCTTAGGCTAGAATATTTTAAAACTCTTATTTAATTTTAAGGAAGTTATTTTATTTATGCATAAATATAGGAAGAGGCAGACATTAGCAACTGCTGAGTAAATACCTCCAGGTGTATTAAGCAGCCTTTACCCCCCTCAAAAATGTGCATACTGCCATCTGCTGGAAAGAGTTTTGTACATTACGACAGTATTTTTGAAAAAATTTAAGTGTCAAATGATTTTTCCCATATTTTTTTTTATAGATAAAATTTAAATCACATTTTTCATTCAATTGAGATTTCAAGTGTAAGAGTCTTGCAGTCGCTTTAAGATAAAACTAAGAAGGAGGCAGTTGTATTTCTTGTTCTTTTCATGTAGATTATGAAAATACACCCATAAGTCTTTAAAATCTTTCCCAAGAATAGATGGAAGGGTGCTAAAGTTCTTTGTGTTTTTCTGAAGGCAATTGTGTGGAATTTTGCTAGATTTGGACAACAACCCTTTGAAGCAGGCAGAGCAAGTCCAGTCATAATTTGCCAGTGAGAAAACAGAAGCCCAGAGAGGTTAAGTGATTAGCCCAGGATCACTCAGTTTTTCAGTGGCATAGCTGGGAGAGAATCCAGGTCTTTGAATATCTTATCCTATGGTGCTGATTATTTCTTCAACTCATCATATCCTGTAGGCCTCTGAGTATAAAAACATTGCATCCTCTTATTAATAAGGCCTAGCAAGATGAAAAGTAGCCAAATTATTAAGTACATTTTAAAGAGAATAATGTATTTTTTTTAACTTTGAAAAGCAGGATAATAAGTGATATCTAGCGCTTCGCATTGACATCTAATGTGTGATGGTTTGCCATATTGAAGGAATACTTTCTGCTTTGTGTACATACCATTGCCTTGTATTTGGTGATTTCTACCCATAATAATTTATGTATGTCCTGTGACGGTTTCACAAGTGTGTGCTGACCTAAAAGTTTCCCTGACTGATTTTTGATTTGGTTTCTGCTGGCATACCCTGCTATCTAATTAGCCTGGCTTCATAGTGATTTTTGTTAAACAATACTTTTCATTTGGTGAATGGTAACTTTGACTTTTAAAGAAGTGTCCTTCTATTCCATCATTTTATGATGTACTATTACCATGGGGAACATAAATTTTGTCCATTGGACTTCCTTGGTATTGTACTGATTTTAAAATTTCTCCAGGATACAGATGAATTTACTAATTTAGGGTGATTATACACTATACTAACTCAACTCTCATAAGCTATTTGTCATTGTTGCCACCTTTCCTCCATGGTACGAGTCTAAGATTTCTGATGTAAGTGTCTCCTGCATTTTATTTATTTATTTTTTAATTTTTAATTTTTTTAAAGATTTTATTTATTTGACAGAGAGAGACTTAGCAAGAGAGGGAACTCAAGCAGGGGGAGTGGGAGAGGGAGAAGCAGGCTTTCCGCCGAGCAGGGAACCTGATGTGGGGCTCGATCCCAGGACCCTGGGATCATGACCCGAGCCGAAGGCAGACACCTAACGACTGAGCCACCTAGGTGCCCAGTGTCTCCTGCATTTTAAAGTACAGTTGTCACTGCTGCTCGGCAGTGGCCCTCCTTCCATCATCTCTGCTCTAGAAATTTTTTTTTTTTACTTACTTTTCTTTCATTTAAAATTTTATCGTTCCCTATTTTGTGCTTTTGGGTTTTTTCTTTTTTTTAACAGCAAATGCATTTACATTTCAATTATGTGAAGCTGAGTATGTGTGATGCAGCCATGTTACTAATTCAAAGCATCTGCCTTACGAGAAGTCTTTTGGAATGCCCCTGAGTCTCTGGATGAATGTGTTAGTGACATGCCTGGCTTCAGACTTTTACTTGTATTGGAATTAAAATGTTAGGAATTTCTTATCAGATAATTAATCCAGAAGAGGAAGGGGATTCGGACTACAATCAAGCATGTATGGAGTAAGATAAGACAATGTGCCTGTGACCAAAAAGGTCGTAAGAAATCACAGTGTTTTGGTCCAGCATTTGGTCTTTTCTTATAATGACCTGGACTCTACCCCTCTCAGTTTAAACCCATGGTTTTTATTTATTTTCTGTAGATATATCAAATAAATTGAACCCCTTTTCCATATGGCAGCTATTAAGTCTTCTTTCTAGGTTTTTCTTTTCTGTTTCCCATATTCTGCTGTTCCCTAATGTCCCTCTCTCCTTCTCACTCGTGAATTTTTTGAGCAATCTGTTTGCATGAGTTAAATCTTTTAATTCTTGCACCAGCCCAGTCTGGTAGTATTCTTATTATGCCCCTTTGACCAAGGCGAAGAAAGATGGAGACCATACAACAATGAGGGGTTGAACCAAGAGGTCAATGAGACTATCGGTGTCCAGTGTTAGGCTCTTGGCCACTGTGTCTCCCCTTCTTTATGTGACACATTTTCGAGGCTTCTTGCTTTTTGCTCTTTTCTGGATACATTCATCTTTGTCAACTTCTCTTCTATAAGACATCATAGATAAAATGTACTCAATACTTCAAGGATACCCTGGCCCCAAAGGGATGGCTTCCTCCTGGGCTGCCTGTCTGCACACCTGTGCCACAAAAGAGCACATTGCAGAGGTGTTTTTGTTTTTTTTTTAACTTGGCTTATCTTGAATTGGGTCTTGCCATTCTCTGTGTGTATGTGCATTTGTAAACTCTATGTGTGTGTATGTAAATAGTGCATTTTTCCACTTTGGAGGATTTTGCATCTTCTCTTGTCAAACTGTACTTAGTCTTCTTTAGTATATACTCATTTCTGCAGCTTTTTTTTTTTTTTTACCTCCATCTTAGCTGTCCTCCCTTTTATTCCATACAAATTTAGTAAGTATGCCTTTAGTCGTATTTCAGGCCTTGATTTTGTAAGGTGTTCTGTGCAGTTCCATTAGATTCTTGAAATATTTCAGTTGGGATTTCTTGCTCCTGTTTCTTGGTCATTGTGGTAATTTGCAATTTTATGATTCATGAATTTTGTTGGGGAGCTTTTTAGAACATTCTATCATTCTTAAGTTAGATTTCTTTTTAAAGTCTCTCTCTATGAGATTATGGTTCTCTTTTCTCTATAGGTTTTCCATTTGCTGCACTTACAGTCCAACAAGTCTCCTGGATCTCAAGTTGAATTGCAGTTAGTTTTCCATCCCTGTTTTAGTTATTGTGACAAATGTTTGGTCCCTGTCCCTGGGAATAGCTAAGAATTTTTGTAATCTAGTCAGATAATTCCACCTTTTCCATTCCTAGCATTTGCCAACTTAATAAGCAACCTTTACACACACTGATTTTGCACCAGCTTAATCAGAAGACACAATGATGGTCCCCTTTAGATTCATATCTGCCAACAGTTGACTGTGGGTTTTGCATACCAGTTAACCTCTACCGTCTTCATCTTGCTCATCTATATAAGTCTGTGTTGGGCTATGAACTGTGAGGTTGCTTAAATTCTAATATCTATGATTTTATAAAGTATACCAAATCGCTTTTAGAAATTTCAGCCCAACTTTAAAAAATTAAATAAAAGGAGTGACTCAACTTAGTTTTTCTGAGCTATATACTTAAGGGTGATATTATCTAATATGCACTCATACGTTCACCTTAGTAATTCAAATGTTGAAGGACTTCTTAATAATTATTGATTCAGCTGCCCCACTCCTAGAGGGGGAGCACTGGGAGGGCTGCCCACTTCCTGGCCTGCAGATGAACCACCATAGCTCCTGCATACCAACTCCATTTCGATGGGCTCTCCCAGCCTGACGTCAGACCCCTGGTAGTGACATGAGCACCCAGACAAATGCCTGCTGTCTGTTTTCCTCTACGGGGCTGTGGTTATGCTCAGCTAGTAGACTCTTCTCAGAGTCACCCACTTGTGGTTGCTTTTGATGAGTATTATATGTAAATCTAACACACTGGACTCTTTCTAACACAACAATAGTTGAATGAAGCCCTTTTAAGGTATATTCTCCATTGTTCATTGTACCGTGGGGTTTACAAAATCAGTAATTCACATATCTGGGGATTGTTTCAAAGCTAAAGGTAAGAGAGTTCAACTTAGACCAAATTTAAAAAAAAGTAACTTGACTCTAGTACTTGTGATTACATGGCTGACCCCTGAAATGTTGTACATTTCATGAAATCATCATGTCACCTTTCTTTTAGCAACGATCTGCTTTGTTTCCAGGTGAATGAAATTTACCACGATGAGTCCCTTGGAGTGCATATAAATGTGGTCCTGGTGCGCATGATAATGCTGGGTTACGCAAAGGTAAAATGTCTTAAAATATGTGAACTATGAACGTGAAGGACTGGGCTGGCAAACAGAAGACTAAATTTCTGTAGCTCTAGCTACCATGTGGTATTAATGTCTCACAGAGACCTAACTGAGGAAGGGAAACTGCCACAATCAGCATGGATCTCCCAATCTGAGCAGATAATGATTTTTGTGCTGATCCCATTTGCTCTGCTTATCTATCTAATGGAGTCATAGGTAGTGATCCTGGCGCTAGGTATGACTATACGAGTGAAAACAAATGGATGCCATTGTGAGGAAAGAGAATTTCCTCAGTCTCCCATTATTGTCAAATTCATGAACCGTTTATTAATTCACAACATCTATGCTGAGTGCCTACTGTGTGTCAGATGCTTTCTAGGTGCTTTGAATATATCAGTGAAGAAAAATAGCAGAGATCCTTTCTCTCTCATGATTTGTTAAAATATTTTACATGTATCTTGTTCCACTTAAGAAAAATGAAGTATACAGTGGCTATTCACTTAGAAGAGCTTTAATCCTTTTTGAAAACAAAAAGGTCAAAATGCACACAGTAGGAATTTCATATAATGTAACTAACTTCAGCTGGCTTTAAAATGGCAGTAGATGTGTCCTTGTCCTTGGAAATAATGGAATGGATAACCGTGGTTTCTTCATTTGAGAAAGTGCCTAACTTGGCAATTTTCTTGATATTTAAGATTATGTGCCCCTTCCCATAATTAATCCTCCTGATTATGAAATACTAAGGAAATCATGCAGTTAGCAAACAGGAAAAAAATCCATGTGTTTGCATTTCATTATGTATTTAACACCCACTTATCATTTTCTGATGAAAGAGTGTCATTGATCTCTACTGTATTCCGTAAACCTGACCTACTTTGTGTTACTAACACTAAATACAAGTCAACTCCAGCTGGAGATGTTAACAGCCTTCAATTGGTTGTTATATGATTTGTTTGGAAAAGTATGTGATCAGCATGTAATAAACCAAGCTAATTTTATTCAGAATGTAAACACTGATAATGATATTTGCTGAAATGTAACAAAACTCTCAGCCGGTCAGGCAAGTAGAGACTAATTTGGGGTTCCAAATTCAATTTCTTATTCTATCAGAACTATTCCGGGAAGTATGGATACTGGGTTCTTGAAGGATGGGCCCTTTTCTCTCTGAACTTTTAACTCCTGATCATAATGTGGTAGTAGCAACATTCCAGGCCATGCCAATCCATTGCTTGTGACTTGCCAGATAAGAGTACATCTCTCTTCATCGCTCCAAGGTTAGAAAAAGGGGGAGTTGCTTTCTTCAGTGTAAGGTTTATGTAATTTGACCACCTCCCGAAATGAAGATTTGACCAGCTTTGCCAGCTCATTGAAGAATTTATATTCTTCACATTTGTTGATCAATTCTGGGCCAATAAAAATAAAAATAAAAATTTTAATTAAAGACCTTTCACTTTAACAACTCTGGATAAGTCTCACACCAGAATCGTTTCCTCTTTTTTTTTTTAATATCTATAAAACTAAGAAATCTGAGCTGAGTTAGGAAATGGACTACTAGAATTCTTACCCCAATGATTAACATTGAGTTGCCCCACGATAGCAAATGTCAGAGTTACGTGTTCCCATAAATGTGTCAGTCACCTTTCACGCAGGTACCATCGATCATCATTCACATATCCTTCATGGGCATTTAGAATTCCCAAACAAGAGCAGATATATGCATAAGCCCTAAATAATATTATTGAACATCTTTGAAATATTGCACTTCCAAATGTTGACTTCAGAGCAAGTGATGAAAGGAAGCCTTTGGGAAAGTGTTAAGCACTTCTTCAACGCTCTGTTTCCTCTTAGTCCATCAGCCTCATAGAAAGGGGAAACCCATCCAGGAGCTTGGAGAACGTGTGTCGCTGGGCTTGCCAACAACAAAAGTCTGATCCGAACCACTCTGAACACCATGATCATGCAATTTTCTTAACCAGGCAAGACTTTGGACCTGCTGGAATGCAAGGTATTTCTATTAATATGCAGAAGAAAAACTTAAGGGCATGACTTTTAAAAAATAATCCTAAATCAAGTAGTCTGTTCAAATGTTCAGCTCCCTTTCCACCATGCACCACTTTCCACCATGCATCAGCCAAGCATACACTTTCTTTCTATTGCTTCCAGTGGAATTCTGGACTTCTGTGGAATTCACAATTCACAATGTTAATGCCACTTAAATGCTCTAATATATTATACTTGCCTTTAAAATAATGACTGTGCATTTGGGGTGTGGAAGGGATGCTGTAAAATGCAGTGTGATTTCCACTAACTGCTCAGAAAGGGAAAGGAGATGCCATGAGAAATGATTGCTGCCAAAGAGCTTTCTTCCAAAGTCAGCTTCCATTTATCTAATAAATTCTGATGTAGGCTTCGGAAAAAAAGTGGACAGATGAGTTTCTTTTCAACGTTGATGGAATTTCTGGCTCCCTTTATCAGTACCATAATAGGAAGGACCATTCACTAAAAACAGAAAGACAGGGCTTTGTTGGTGGGCAGAACAGAATAGTAACCCCAGGCAGTTCCTTCCCTTAGGAAAGGAGAAAACGCAGACCCAGTGAATCTTTTTAGAGACCATTACCTGTGTGTGGCTTTCCCAAGAGAATGTGGTACAATGCTAGCAGCGAAATAATACTGCCTCTGTTTCCTGAAAAGCTCTTTTTTTTTCTTCCTAGGCAAAGGTCCAGTAGTAGTTCTTAATGGGCTTTCTCATAAAATGAAAATAAAAGTAATTGTTATTCTCTACAGGATATGCTCCAGTCACAGGCATGTGTCATCCAGTGAGAAGCTGTACCCTGAATCATGAGGATGGTTTTTCATCTGCTTTTGTAGTAGCTCATGAGACTGGCCATGTGTAAGTCACTGTTGACAGCTATAAAGCCAAAAAAAAGGTCTTTTCTTCCCTGCTTCTCTCAGTATTGTTCACACTTTGGGCAGAGTACATGCCAGCATGCAACTCTCATTCCTTGCCAAGTGTGAGGAGCTGAAAACAGGGAAGAGGTCACGCACTGAAACTAAATAAGTGACTCTGGCTTGCAGAGATACCCCTGTGCTTTCCATAGCTATGGGACAAGAAAGACATTTTTGTCAGATTATTCTCTATTTCACAGTCTCTGGGACTCCTCCGCAAAAGCCACGTTAATTTATAAAATGCATATTCCCCGAATTTATTTCCAAGATTGGAATCAAGCAAAATCCATGGCCCCTCTGATTCTTACCGGTGAGGTCTCACTTTTATTGTAGGCTGGGAATGGAGCACGACGGACAAGGCAACAGGTGTGGTGATGAGACCGCTATGGGGAGTGTCATGGCCCCCTTGGTGCAAGCAGCGTTTCATCGTTACCACTGGTCCCGGTGCAGTGGCCAAGAACTGAAGAGATACATCCAGTATGTCCCCTTTTGTGTGTCCTGAGAGCATTTATGTCGTAGCATAACACAGACGTGAAACTGTCTTTTAGGACCTCCATCTTAACCAAACTCCCAGTGAATGAGAATTATTGCTCATGATAAACATTTTCTTATAACTCAGAGCTTTTGGCACAATGATCCTGTAATGTAATCACAGTATTTTAAGCCGTAAGCCTAGAATTTAAGAGAATTTTTAACTGTGGTCTCCTTTTAGTAAACTCCTTATGGAATCTTTGACTGGGTGGTCAAACTTGAGTTGGGGATGAGGAGAGAGAGGACGATCATGTGATACCTGCAGAGAGTGCCTCATTTTCCCTGTAGGATAGGGGCCGGGATCTGTGCCACCATACTGTGTGGGATTCCCGCAAGGGTCATGAATAAGGCTGTCACAATTCTACTGTATTCCAGAGTCATGTTTGGCTTCTTTTGGGGGATGAATAAGGATGATGGGTCTTTTCCTGAATGGAAGTGAAACCAAAAACCTTAAAAGGTATGACTCTGTGATCTTGCTATATGATTGGATGAAATTCCAGAGTCTGTAACCTAAGAATAGTTTTTCATTAGGCTGTGTTAAAAAAAAAAAGAACATTTAATGACATGAAATATTTTCCTTTCTACAGTTCCTATGACTGTCTCCTTGATGACCCTTTTGAACATGATTGGCCCAAACTCCCAGAACTTCCTGGAATCAATTACTCTATGGATGAGCAATGTCGTTTTGACTTTGGGGTTGGTTATAAAATGTGCACTGCGGTATGTCACTCAGTCAATTGAGATTTTTGCATCTTGAAATCTGTTTGCATAGCTCCTATTTGGTGAGCTTTATAGACTCACTGGTGCAAGCAGAAGAGTATCTATCGATGACTTTGTGTTTGTTGTGTCACTGTGCTGAAGCTAAGAGCTTTGAATATATTATCTTATTTAATCCTTAGCAGACTAGATGGGAGTTGGTATATTTTTACTTTACAGATGAAAAAGCCAAGATTTACAGAGATTAAGCAATTTGCTTAAATCACGCGTCTGGTCAGTAGGGGAGCTAGATATTGAAACTAAGATTGTCAGGCTATAAAGCTTTATGCTGTGTTGCTCCCTTAGTTTTTGTGACCTTCGGAGATGGCTTCTAAGCCTTCATTTGGTTGCTTTTCATTAGTTTGCCAGGATTTCATGTAGCTGTGACCATAGGGAAGGGTCATCATATATTCTTATGTGAGAGTCCTATGGTATAGCATGAAGGTCAGGAATATGGGTTTCATACTCAGGCTAGGTGGGTTGTCAGAATCTGGATCTCCTACTTACTAAATATATGAGTTTGAGCACTTTATTCAATCTCTCTTAGTTTACTTGGGTGTAAAATATGGATAATGATAGTATTTATCTCGTAGAATTGGGATCAGGATTAAATTTGATACCATAATTACAGTGCTTAGCACAATGCAGGCACATGGTAAATGGGGTCCAGTAAAGCCAGTCCTCCATGTGGCTGTGCACATTAGGGCTATGTTTCACTAAATTTCTACATTAAGCTTTAGTAGTTCATTAAAAAAGGCAGGGGGGAGAAAGGAGGGGCTTTTTATATGTTGGAGCAAGCTTTATATGTTAGAGCAAAAAATTAAGTATTTCAAGATATTGAAAAGAAGTTGATCGCTGTTTGAAATCTTCCATATAGAGCTGTCTACAGCCATTTGGTCTGTGTATAAGGTACATGCTGTCAGCGCCTCATTACCTGCGTTAATGCTTTCGACCTGAGAATTCTAAAGCTTTGGCTCAATGTCATGGAAAAGTACAATTTCTACATTAAGTAATAGGGATTAGAACCAAAAAAAAAAAAAAAAAACCCAGGTCCAAAATGAGTACAATTTAAAAAAATAAAAGCTGTGACCATAAGGCTATATGCAGGTAATTAGTGCTGTAAACAATAAATATGTGGATAAACTGGTATTTGGTTTTTTTTTTTCAAATCTAGATAATGGTAAGATATTTCTAGTTACACGAGTACAAGTAAAGACCACACACAAATATGTGTGCTTCCACATCCATTTGGATATTATAATGTGGTGTTTTAGGAAAACAAAAACATTCTCACAAATAAGAATACTAAGACTCTAGTCTGACTGTTACTATCTCACTTATAACCTATAACCGTAACTAAAGCCTTACCTTATAACTTTCAGTCTCAGTCATGGATTGTTTTGAGGATTAAATATATGGAAAGTATGTTATAAACTACATGAATGTATTGAGATTTTGTTACACCTAGGACACCTTATCTCGTGTAGCAAGACTTATAAATATTTTCTGCTTTTAATCAGCTCAGTATTATTTATAATCTGGCCAGTTTATAACTACAGGGATAAAGAGAAGCAGTTTTGATAACTTGAGAGCTGCAAAACCATCTTAATAAGTTTTCATATTTAAAATGGTCATAATATTTACAAATTCTTTAAAATTCCCATATTGTCTGAAAACCATAAAATAGAAATGGTATGCAGAAATGTTGAAGTCAGCCAGAGAGTCGCAGACAAATTATTGTTCATCATTGATATTTTAGAAAAGCAGAATAAAAGTATTCTTTCCTTGGAATTAATTCTTAGGCAGTATTTTTTTTTTCTTATCATGCCACAACTATGACTGTTAATTTAAAATTAAAACACCCGAGGAATATGACATGAAGAAAGTGTCTAGAAGATACTCTCAGATATATGTTGGTATGACATGCCATCTCTATTTCATTGAGATCCTGATTCTCTCTTCCAGTTCCGAACATTTGACCCATGTAAACAGCTGTGGTGTAGCCATCCTGATAATCCCTACTTTTGTAAGACAAAAAAGGGACCCCCACTTGATGGGACTGAGTGTGCTGTTGGAAAAGTGAGTATATCTATTTATACAATGAAAATCTAATCTAGGTTTCATCATCATCATCTTTAGAAACCTGGAAAATTATGACCCTTGCTGTAGTCATTCTTATACCAACCATGGTGTATAGGGTTTCATTATGATAATGCAGTAGCATTGTTTCCTAGGGCTTCGATGGCAAATTACCACACACAACCTTGGTTCCTGAAGAAAACAGAAATGATATAGTTCTAGGAGCCAGAAGTCCAAAATCAGTTTCACTGAGCCAAAATAGTTGTGTGGATTATACTCTTTCCAGAGGCTCTAGGGGAGGATCTCTTCTTGCGTCTTCCAGCTTCTGGGGGCTGCCTGCATTCCTTGATTTGTGGCTGCACCATTCCAGTCTCTGCTTCTGTGGCCACAGTGTCCCTTTCTCTTCTGTGTGCAAATTTCCCTCTGCCCCTCTCTTAAAAGAATACAGGTGCTGTGCTGGCATTTAGAACCCACCTGGATAATAATCCAGGATCACCTCTCCATCTCAAAATCCTTAACCAAATCACATCTGCAAAGACCATTTTCCAAATAAGGACATTTACAGATTTGGGGGATTAGGACCTACCATCTTTGAGACCACTGTTTGGCTGTTCCTGATAGAATAGGAAGCAGTAGTTCAGCAGAATATCTGGGCCCCTGCTAACGGGATTTGATTTACTTGCTGGCGTCCCACTCCTTGTGAAAGTTGTCCAGAAATAAAGTCATGTGAATTTATACAGAAGATTTGGCCTTGCTCCTTGGGGAAAGATGCCCAGCGGTTTTAAATCTCAAATTGTGTAGTCAAGATTGAATGCTCAGAAAGTGGCCAGGGGCCAATCTATGCTACTCATAAGGGGAAAGATCACCAAACCCAAAACAAAGACATGTTAAGAACTCAAGTTGAAGAGCCATGACTAGTTTGGAAATAAGATACTGTAGACAGGACTAAAAGCGGCAAGGAAGATTTATGTAGCTTTTAGTTCTTTTAAAGCCATTTAGAGCTCTACTTCAAATATGTATGAACTGTATTTGCTCTGAGAATTACAAGCATAAAAATGATAATAATAATAAAAATAAAATCTGCCATTATGGGTGTTTAAACTTTGTTAGGTATTATGCTAAACATATTACATACAGTGTGTTGCTCTGGAAAAATTCAATGTTACAAACTTTTGACTAAAAAAACAAGAGCAACAATGGGTTGATTCATTTTTGCTTTATGAAAAATATATCCTGTAAATCAACTCTGAACATCCAACTTCTCTAAATATATTTGTGTTATGTTTAAATTTACCAAATCTGAGTATTAAGAAACATTTTTATTGTAAGTAGGACAAAAAAGGAAGTCAAAATGTTGAAAGGGAAAAGAACTAATACCTGTTGAGGACCTGCTCTGTCCTGGGTACTATAAGCTAGGTGCCTCTGTAGTATCAAGGTTCAATAGTTCCCATTTAATTACTTCCTGGTCAGTTGGTCTTACCCTCCTCATGATCATTTCTGGGTCTCAATATTCCTCATCTAAAGATGTAAAGATAACAAATGACCTATCTATCTCTCAGAATCATTGTGATTGGAAAATTTAGAAACATACCTAAGTGTTTTGAACACTGTATATGTTTAGATATGTTAATTAATTCCAAAGTTAAGGCATATATTTTTTAAACAACCCTGGTAATCTAGCTAATGAGGGATGAAGGGTAGAATACTTCCTACTATGCAAGTTGGGTTCTCATATCATTCTTAATGGTTTTTTTTGATATTCACTGTAAATGTATCATTTAAAAACTTGTCTGAGTGATTTTTTTTTTCATTTTATACTTAAAAATGCAAGTCTACATTATCCTCTATAGGGTACCTTATTGTTATAATTGAGCTGGGTTCATTTTAAATGCATTTTTACCTGGGGGCAGAAAAGGAATAAAGGCCTTTAACTGGTGGTAGTTGTGTAATAACTTGAGCTTTGGCTTAGGCATGATTTTCATAATTGCCTTTTGTCATTTTCCTCAGTGGTGCTATAAGGGCCACTGCATGTGGAAGAATGCTAATCAACAAAAACAAGATGGCAACTGGGGATCCTGGACCAAATTTGGCTCCTGTTCCCGGACATGCGGAACTGGTGTCCGTTTCAGAACACGCCAGTGTAATAATCCCACGTGAGTAAACTCCTGTAATTCTAGTTATTTTTGGGTAGACCAGAAAATGCTCCAGTATTCTGTTATTAATATTCTGTTTCACGAAGTACATGTCAAACACAAAACATGAAAATTAGGGGTTTAAGTATCTATTTGGGATAAATCTCCATTCATCAATCTTGTGAAGAGTCGTCAATGGCGAAGTTGAGGCTCAAGCAAAGATTAGAGATTTTGGAAGCTGTTGCTATTTAGAAGTCTTCAGGAGCTAGGCAGGGAAGGCCCGTCCCTGTGCTGTTAAGGCCTGGGCCCCAGTGCCGGGAGGGACACTGCAGGAAGCCCAGGTGTGTCAGCCTGTCAGCGCCGGGAGCAGCTCCAGCCGGGGGCTCACTCCCTCTGGGGTTAGGAGAGCAACACAGAGGAGCAGGACCACAGAAAGATGGTGAAAGAAGACCAAGGAACTGGGGGAACAGCTCCCTATTCACTCACTCAGACTAAATATAGTGAATCCCTCTTGTGTGCTCAGCAAACCTTAGGACCTTCTTTCTGGTCTAGGGTTTACCATGTAAGGAAAGCGCCTTCTTCAGTCTCCGGCAGCAGGATGGTTCTAAGAAAGTTTTTCATAAAAAATATCAAATGTCACATACCTGTTTTCATGGGAAGAGATGCTGGTAGTGTTAGTGGGAGTAATATAAACGATAAAAATTATCATAAGGGCAGCTAAAGTTCACCATGAGCCATGCTCTGTTGTAAGTATGTTAAATATGTTAACGTATGCAGTCCTCTGCATGTTTCTCTAAGAAAGAGGGGATTATTTTTCTCATTCTGCATAGGAGAAAACTAAGACATAGAGCTGTGATCAAATGTCTTTGGGTTACACGTACATGTTTTATGCATGGGAGAAAATATAATTTTCCTCGGTCCAGACATATGTTTTTTTAAAATTTCTTTATATATTTCACTGTGCATTCAAAATATACCGTTTGAAATGCTGACTTAAGTTGAGTTTTTGGTCCCCACTTCCCCACCCCGTCCCAGACAAACACACATAGGGGGAGGATGGTGCTTTTGGAGAGGGATGGAAATTAGGAAGCATGAGTTCATTCCCTTTGTGCCCATGGCTCAGCAGCTCTGGCTTTCTGCCTTCCACACTGGGTCTGCAAGCTTCAACTGCTGGCCCAGAGCCAAAGGGCCTTTTTCAATGTTGTCTTTTCTTTTAGGCCCATCAACGGTGGTCAGGATTGTCCTGGTGTTAATTTTGAGTACCAGCTTTGTAATACAGAAGAATGCCCAAAACACTTTGAGGACTTCAGAGCGCAGCAGTGCCAACAGCGTAACTCCCACTTCGAATTCCAGAATACCAAACACCACTGGTTGCCATACGAACATCCCGACTGTGAGTAGATGCTCGCTGTCTTTCCCACTGTGTGGATGGGGACTCAGAGTGTAAGCCTTGTCAACACCAATCCCTGGGACTCTGGGTCCTTACTTGGTAAATTAGAAAACTTGGTGTTTATAGGGGTAAGTCCTGCTGGGTTTCCAAGAACAAGGCTAGCGTAGTCCTTTCTCTAGAGAGGTGAGGACTGTGGGCTAGTTCCTGGCCAACGGCATTCCCACTGTCACTGCTGGAAAGACCCGTGGAGACATGTTGAGTTTCCTCATTTGACTGACATCCTTCTACTAGGAAACGCTCTAGAATACTGTGATCTTTCCTTTCCGAATAACCAGGGAAACACCACATTTCCTTTAGAACTGAGAAACAAGAAGATCATGACTTGAGAACAAAAGGCACATCATAACCTTTTACTTTTGTACCGTTACCCTAGTTATTAGAAAAGACACTTGGGGATTCCCTGTTAGCGTTTCACTTCATACCTCTGAATTTTTTTTTTATTATGTTATGTTAGTCACCATACATTACATCATGAGTTTTCGATGTAGTGTTCCACGATTCATTGTTTGCATATAACACCCAGTGCTCCATGCAGAACGTGCCCTCTTTAATAGGAATGTCTCACCGTACTTCGTAGTTGGGTGGATGAAACAAAATAGTGACATGGTTACCATATGACTCAATACACTGACGAGTTCAGTTTAAAAGCTGTTTTAAAGGAAGGATTGCATCCACACAGGAATTCCAAGTTGCCGTGCATTAAGAAGAAATGCATTAATTTTTATCTGTTTCGGTGAAGCGAGTCACATAAATTATATTACATTTAACTAATGAGATCCTACATGAGGCATAAACCATACTAGGTCATCGGTTCAAACAAAAGAGAAATGCTTTTAATTCCCTAAGTGTCACTAAAATGAAATTGGTTCTGAATTAAAGTTTATTAAAGAGCTGTGGTTAAATCCATGGTTGACATCCAACCTGCTTTGCCTGGGACAGTCCCAGTCATTCCTATGCAGTTATTAATTCAGCCACTTTTCACTCTCAGAAGTTTCACAGTTTAGATCAATTGTAAGCCAAGTATCTATCCTTTTCTGCTACTCTTTCTTTTATTTATTCACACAATGTTTTGTTTTCAGGACATCGTGCGGAAACTCTGTATTTTAAAAATAAAATCACTGTAGTGTGCAAATATGTCACTTTATGTACATGGTCGATTTAATCCTCCATCTTTGCAGCCAGGAAAAGATGCCACCTTTACTGCCAATCCAGAGAGACTGGAGATGTGGTGTATATGAAACAGCTGGTGCTGGATGGAACGCACTGTTCTTACAAAGATCCGTACAGCATATGTGTGCGGGGAGAGTGTGTGGTGAGTTCACATGGCAGCCCTGGAAGCTTCCTGCGCCGTTGTGCAATTCTGCTTTGACATTCGTTCACCTGCATGTTTTCAAAAGATCTTAACCCCGTCTCATCTGTAAAATCACATTAAAATGAGAATCTAGGACTAGCTGAGGAGGCCTAAACCAAACGCGGGAGAAATTTTCACTTTTCACATCAATGTTTGGCCATTGGCAGAATCGAGATTTAAATATGGTTTCGTCTTCTTCCAGCCAAATGCCTTTTCTAAATTACTCTGATCCCTCTGGTTGGGGATACAACAGCTCAGGATGGATAGTGCCTTTTTTGCTTTGAGTATTTTACTAGTAGTCATCTGCTTTTCCACTATGGAGCTGTTTTCAAAAACGCAATGCTAAGTGTATTTTATCTTTTATTTAAAAAGTAATAGAAATTCTCTCTCCCCCTCTGTCTCTCCTGCTCTCTCTCTTACTTTCCAATTGATTCTAAGTTTAGACACTGAATTCCACCTCAGAACAAAAGAGGCGAAGATGCAAAAACCGGGTTTTGCCCTACTGAGACTCTTTTTTATAAAAAACTGCAGTTGACTTTCTTGTTCATGTTCCCAAGTTGAATTGACATGAAATCAGCGTTATTTACTGAACACGTGACTCCTCTCTGTTTCTTCTTCACTTCAGCACAACCAAAGTGTTGTAGGAATGAATCTCAAGAATGCAGAGACTTCGCATTTGAAATGAATTTCTCCTGAAAGTAGAATCTGACTTTTGTCCATCTCTCACCCTCCCACAGTACATCAAACGTGTGGTCATCATTGTCTCTGCCCGTTTTCATTCCAAACTTCTGAGTGCAGTGGCCTATCATGTCCCCTTACCCTGCACTGATTTCCATGAAGGGGCCTGCCCCAGTTCAGAAAACCTTCCGTGGTTCCCTGTTAAAGTTTCTGTGAAAATGTAAACTCTGCCTGATATTCGAGGTCTTTCGTGGCCTGTGCTTTGCAAATCTTTCACTGTTCTTCCCCTCTCGTACAGTACTAACTTTCCATCGGCTTAAACATGGCTTCAGTATTGCTCTCAGAACCCGCTTTCCATGAGCATACAATTTCCATGGCTCTGTTTTTATCCCTCTGCATTCTTGAAATGCCTTTTGACAGGGCCCTATGAAAATATCCAGCCCTTCATAAAGTTTTTTTTGTTTGTTGGTTGGTTTGGTTTGTTTTTAGTTTCAGAGGTAGAGTTTAGTGATTCACCAGTCTTATATAATACACAGTGCTCATTACATCGTGTGTCCATCACCCAGTTCCCCCAGCCCCTCATTCCCCCTCCCCTCCAGCAACCCTCAGCTTGCTTCCTAGAGTTAAGAGTCTCTTACGGTTTGTCTCCCTCTGATTTCGTCTTACTTTATTTTTTGTAAAGTTTTGTTTTGCATCCCTAGCCAGCTTATAAAGCTTATGCTAATGCCCAGCTCATCGTTTTATTACTCATTTTTCCAAATAGGAGAGCAACAGGGGAAAAACACTTTCTGTCTTTTTGTCTTCTCAGCATCAATGACAATATCTGTGCTTAATAAATGTTCGATGGGTCATGACTATGTGTGATGGGGTAAATATTTCGTTAGACTGGGGGAATGTATCCTAGAGTAGATTTTAACCTAGAGTACAAGTCATTTGACTTCATAGTAGTTCTTCAAAAAGATTGAGGCATTAAAAAAATCAGAGCTTGAGTCAAGGTTTGGTCAGACTATGTCACTGTGGGCTCACGATAAAACAAATGGTTTGTCCTTGTCTAGGATGCTGACCTTCACTTGGCACATTGAAATTAGTCACGTTTAACATCTTCTCTTTCCAGAAAGTGGGCTGTGATAAAGAAATCGGTTCTACTAAGGTTGAGGATAAGTGTGGCGTCTGTGGAGGAGATAATTCTCATTGTCGAACCGTAAAGGGGACATTTACCAGAACTCCCAAGAAGCTTGGTAAGATGGCGTCTCTCATGAATTTGGTATCCTTCTCCGTGATTTATACTTTTTGGGACTTCTTTTAGGAATGTAACATTTTCCCTATAAACATAACAAAAAATTAGCTGCTGATTTATTTTTATTCAGATTACCTTTTCTTTTCTTTTTTTTTTTAAGATTTTATTTATATATTTGAGAGAGAGAGGGAGAGCAAGCACGTGAGAGACAGAACGAGCATCAGCGGGGGGAGAGACAGAGAGAGAGGGAGAAGCAGACTCCCCAGTCTTTGGGGAGAACGAAGCAGACTCCCCACTGTTTGGGGAGCCCGACGCGGGGCCCCAGCATCATGACCTGAGCTGAAAGCAGACGGTTAACCGAATGAGCCACCCAGACACCTCAGATTGCCTTTTAAGGAACTAAAAACCAAAAACAAAAATAAAAACACTTGGACTGAATTCATACTCCATGGCATCCATGATGAAAGAGTGTCTACTTAATTTAAATAAGAAACAAATAAAATCAATATCAATTATAGTAGTTAGCTAAAATATGTTTTGTTTTATTTTGTGTTTTTATTTGTTTGTTTGTTTATTTATTTATTTATTTTGAGAGTGAATGAGAGAGTGTGTATGCAAGCGGGGAGGGGCAGAGGAACAAGGAGAGAGAATCCCGGGCAGACTCCCCACTCAGTGTGCAGCCCAGCTCAGGGCTTGATCTCCCGACCTCTGAGATCATGACCCGAGCAGAAATCAAGAGTCGGACGCTTAACCAACTGAGCCACCCAGGTGCCCCTATTTTGTGTTTTTAATAAAACACATTAGACCTACTTATTAGAATTGAGGCTTATTTTGAATTTTCTGTTCACATAAACTGTTGTTCAGAAGTTACAAAAAAAAATCACAAAATTTTAAATACAACTTTTAAAATATTGCATGAGCTTTGCTTCTTTTATTTTAAAGGTGAACAAGTTTATCCTATCTATAAATCTACAAATCTAGACTCCATATTTCACATGATTTTAAAAGTTTTATATTACACAAAATTAGGTACACAACCAAAAACAACCCTGAGGTATGACTATTTGTGTGTGTGAATGTTAGTGTTTATTTTAGAGTCAATGCCTGGACTTAGGCATACAGTGAAGTTTCAGCAGATGGGGGAAAAAAAAAAACAGACATAATATGTAAAATTATGAGTAGTTTCATAATCGTTCACTGGAATTTTCATAAGAGATTTGGATACAAACATTTATTACGGAATGATCTGTTTTAGTTTGTGACAAATATTATTCAGTTATTCAATAAGCATTTATGGGGAAAATGTCTCTGGGAATTCAGCATTTAAAGATACATTTGATGTGGTGCTTCCCTTGAGAAGCTTCTCTTTCGTCATCCCCATTCAGTTGGTATAGTCTCTGGTAAAATGACAAAATAAGACAAAACAAAAATAAAGATAAGAAACTGGTTTACTTTGAGCACATTGTCATGGCGGTGATTTTCCCTTTTAGAAGAAGAGAAAGTATAAAAAAGGTAGTCTTCATCCAAATGGAATAATTCTCTAGTTCTTTGTACTCTTGTTAGACCTCAGCTACCCCAGTGCAAGCCAAGTGCACACAGACCAGTTTTGCTCTTTGACACATTGAGTGGGGCAGAGAGCTAGGTCACTCCAAAGTGTCTTTCGTTACTGATGGTTTTGATATTCCTGTGTGATCATTTAATAGTTAAATGGTTAAAAAACAAATATTGCCATTTCTGGCTGATAATATTACTTTAAGAACATTCACAGAACTAAAATGATATATTGTGGTTTTGGTGGAGTAACATATAATTTTCTTCATCTTATTGTGAAGCAATTAACTGTGCTTTCTCTATGGCAGCTATATTATTCTTTTTGGTATGAAATCACTCATATTATTTTATTTCCAGAGTAAATTAATGTAAGGAAAAAAGTTTTTGCCATTAATCATCCATCCATTAATCATCCATTCTGTGGTATGAGGTCGTGGTACGTTTTTTTCAGATAAGTCAAAAATTAGACTAAACCTGCGACTCAAGGTCAGGAGAGAAGAAAGGTTTCCTCAGTCATACAGATTCAGACTGTTCAAAGATAATCTAACATCCATTTCTTTGCACTGGTGTTGTCATCATAGTCACTCAATAGACTAATTAACGTTTTCCAACAGGGAAACATTTAAGCAAGAGGTGCCATACAGAATTCAAGTTGCTGGAAAATGAAATCTGCAAGTATTCAACTTCCAATCACCTTTATCATTTCTCATTCATTCTTAGTCTTACTTTCATTGACTATTAACTTTTTATTGGCATTAGCTAACTATTAAAAATGCATTTTGACTTCAACACATAAAATTACCGATTATTTGATATCTTACCTAATAGAATCTATATAACTTATAGTATAGTCAATGAAACAGCAAGACTTTGATAAACATGAAAACTTCACTAATTAAAAACATTCTATTTAAGGGAAGACAAGAGGCGCCTTCACTTTACCCAAAGGAGCTCGTAATATTTCTCTTGCTGAAACAAGGGAAGCTAAAAATGTACTGGGTAAGTTGTAGCAAACTGCAGAAAGATGGGCATCCATAAATGGCATCAAGCTGTTTTGCTGTGCTTGGTCGGCATCTTAAACATGTTCCGTCTAGCCATTGCACACTCAAACATGCTGCGGTTCCTGGACTCGACTTTACCCAGACTCAGGTACTGAAAACCCCGACCCCAAAATGACTATGCCATTGAGTTAAGACAGTAATAAATATTGGGAAAAGGTTGAGTAAATCTACCCACAGGTAGATATTTATTGTCCGTATGGAAATGACAAACATACTTCTTTCTGAGAACATTGGCAATTGTGTATTTATAACTGAATTTCTGTCACACTCATCCTGTAGTGTGTGAGTTGAATGTTTCATATGTAAGGTGTCAGTTGCAGCACCTCCCTATATTAATTTATATTTCCTGGATAAAACGCCTCGATTTCTACTTGTCCTATTGTTGATTTAAAGTTAGGATCTTAATTCTAAGTGATCTTAAGATAATTTTTAGGACATGTGATAATACTAAGATTTGTTTCATATGACATTGACTGTAATAGGATTGATACAAGATTTTATAACCCAAGGCAATCAATTAAACATATTGATTTAATGATTTCTAGATTAGAAGATTGAGTTTAGGGCACATTTTTAAGGCAGTGTAAGTAAGACATAACTTGCGGCATTTTCCAACCAAATGGTTTGGTCAAATCTAAAAAATATACTTTAAAACTTTCCCATAATAAAACTTGTTCAAGGCTTTAAAATTAATGGCTGATCACAAGAAAAATGAAAGCCACTCACTGATCCTTGTTTTGAAATCTCTTTAGAACAAAGCAGGCTTTCAATATGAAGATATTTCATTAATTAGAAGTTTAGCTATCTATACTTGCCCTTAAGCTTTTAAAATAATATACAGACAGATAAAATATCTCAAAAAGTTCACCAACGAAGTATGCTAAAAACTGGCCCCACTTCAAAAGGGTGGTTTAGAAAACTAAAATAGTGTAATGTATAAACTTGACAAATCACTATGTTGTACCATGTTGTGCACCTGAAACTAATGTAACATTGTGTGTGTCAGCTGTACTCAAAAATAAATAAATAAATAAATAAATTTAACAGCAATGACAACAACAACAGAAAACCTAAACTCACATAGAGGGACACAGGAAATTTGCCTGAATTGTTGTTGACACAATTCACAGTTCAATACAAGATAAATGACTGATAGGTTAGAAACAAGATCAACTCCCCCCTCTTAATACCTTAAAAAAAAAAAAAAAAAGAAGGGTTTCCTCTAATCTCATGCCCATTGTCACAAAAACGACCAGTGCTTTGAAGTTCATTCCTGAAACTGCTTCTTTGAGTTTATGGATGCCCTCTTCTGCATGCAGAAGCAGTAAGAATTTCATGCTCGGCTAACCATGGTTGTTGCTTTTGTTTTCTTCTTTGCTTTCTCCAATATTTACTACACATGCAAAGGGTACCTTAAGATGTTTGATATACCCCCGGGTGCTAGACATGTGTTAATCCAAGAAGACGAGGCTTCTCCTCATATTCTTGGTAAGTGTTTCTGTCTGCTGGCTTTGCTTTAGCATGCACTTAGAGAAATGTCAAAGAAATCATATAGAGAGAGAGGTATATGTGTGTGTAGACGTATGTGGATCTGTATGTATATGTGTATATATACATAGATACGCAAGATTCGGAATTCCATATAAATCATTACTATGTGGTTTTTGTTGGTCATTTCTCCCCACTCTTCTTTCTTTAAAATAAAAAATATTCAAAAATAGAGCTTTAATTTTTGGTGAAACCTGGGTTGGTTCATTATTTATATGAAGAAAAGTTATTTAACAAGTTTATTATGCATTTTTGCTCTGTATTAGGGGATGAGGAAAATAAATATGTTAATAAAATGCACTAAATTAAGGAAGAATATCAGAAAAAAAATTTGCCATAGTTATGTTGGCAAATTAGTTCTGATATTTTGGTTGATGCCATACTATATGCCTCTCCTTACTTTTATTGCATTTTAAGTTCTTTTACTGAAAAGCCAGTATCTGTGATGTGTCGAGTTTCTGCCTGACACATGCAGATCCATTTGCATGGCTGTTAAGAATTCTTTTCCTCCTTTATGAGAGGATCACATAAAAATGTCATCCTAAAGGGTTTGTTTTCAAAGTGTATGTACAAATGTAAGCATGACTTCCACATATTCCCTGACCTATTAAAGCACGAGGAAGTTCTCTGAAATGAAAACATCATCTGTCAACCCCATGAAAATTTGTCTCAAATTGCTTTTCTTTTAAATGTGTGACTTAAAAAATGAATTGTTTTATGGTGTTTCATAGAATTTTTTTAGTATTTAAATTAAATTCACTACTAGATTCCTTAATGATCTAGCAGTCAGCCATAGTTCTTTTTCCAATAATTCATATTCCTTATTTTTTGTCCTAGAACTCAGATTATTAACTTTGGAAACATGAGATAGTTTAAAAAAACTCAAGAGGAATAAATGTATTTAACTAAAATTACTCATGTTATCTACACATTTTCAGGAATGGTAATAACATGAAATTTTATTTTCTAACTGATTATATGCTGGTAAATACCTGCCAACTTTGAAATCCAATTTGTTATGTTTTATCTATTAGAGAAAGCATTTTTAAATAATATATAGTAGATCAATAATGCATTAAGAACTCTATCACCAATAAACAGCTTTTTCTAGCCATATCAAGTAGGGACGTGGCCTTGGAATTTCACAGATATAAGAACTAATTGTTTGTTGGTCTAAAAATTAGTTCAACTATGTTGGATACCTATCAATACTTTTACTAACTTGAAAGAGATAACACAATAGCACATTATGTTATGTGCTATCCTAGCATAAATGATTTGTGTTAATGATTATAGAAGTATCCATAATTTTCTAAATATGCCCAGCTTTCTGAGGAAATATACAGGAATGGGTTAGAAACTGTTAACCTCTTTGACAGTCCTTTCAAATGGGAATATTTGTCGATTTTTATCTCCCTTATTTAACCATCTTGCTATTGTTTTTGACTAGTTAGGAGTGCTGCTTGAGGATTTTGAAGGCCAAATGAAGGGAATGGGAGTCATATCAGAACTAACACTCATTTTGATTGCTTTGATGCTAATAAACAGTCTTTCATTTATAGAAAGGGATAGACTTGCTGTGGGTCATCAAACCTGTAATATGATCAAATAAAATGTATGCTGGTTACCCATTTTTCTCCCTCTAGCTATTAAGAACCAGGCTACAGGCCACTATATTTTAAATGGCAAAGGAGAGGAAGCCAAGTCGCGGACCTTCATAGATCTTGGTGTGGAATGGGACTATAACATTGAAGATGACATTGAAACTCTTCACACAGATGGACCTTTACACGATCCTGTTATTGTTTTGGTATGTGGTATTACAGGCTTACTATGTAGTTGGTTCTATAATTTTATAATTAATTTATCTGAAAACACTTTTACCTTGAACATTGAATAGTTAGTTACTTGTTTTTTATAATTCCATTTATCTGTCCCTCTCTACTCTTTGTGCAACTTTGTCATATATTTTATTATATGTACATTATAAACCCAATAACGTAGTATTATGATTCCTGACTTCCAGTAATCCATTATCTATTAGAGACAAAAGATGAGATAGATTTTTATATTTACCCACATAGTTACCGTTTCTGATGCTCTTCCCTCTTCCCTGTAAATCTGACTTTCCATCTAGTATCATTTACCTTTGATATAGAGAACATCCTTTAGCATTTCTTGCGGTGTGGGTGTGCATGCTAGCAAAGAATTCTCTCAACTTCCAATTATCTGAAAATATCTGTATTTCACCCTCATTCTTAGAAGATATCTTCAGCAGGTATAAACATTTTGGTAGCTAGTGCTGTGTGTGTGTGTGTGTGTGTGTTAGCACTTTAAAGATGTTTTTACACTGTTATAGGGGAGTTGAAGGAACTAGAGGGCCGATTAGGGAGGTAGATGTGACCACGGGGTGCCAGCAGTGCGCCCTGGCTTTATTGCCCCCTTAACAGGTTTGCAGGTCGGCCACCAGAGAGAGGCAGAAGGGAACTCCTGGGACAGAAGGGATTGGAGAGGGGGTGTTTTTGGTGCTGTGATGTCAATCAGCAGCTCAGTGGGGAGTCTGCTCTGAGAGCTCCTGAGAGCAGCAGCAGCTTGGGATCCTTACAGCCACAGACCCCTCTATAGTTAGCAAATGGCCAGTGCAGTTTCATCGGGGTTTGCTAAGCAAGCAGGTTCTAACAGGCTAAAAATATGCCTGTTTGGGCTGGATTGAAAAGAACTGGGTATGTAAAACTTTGAGTTTGGTGCCAGCGGGCTTCTGAGCTAAAGGCTCTCAGCCTGCTGTGAAGAAACAAACAAAGTAGGGGCCAACGTACAGGAACTATCTTTTGACTCATAACGTTTGTCTTCTACAACCCATCATTCATGATGAGAAGTCAGCCCCATTCATATTGCTGCTCTGCATGTGAAGCATCCACTTTCCCCGACTGCTTTTTAAAGATTTTCTCTTCATCTTTTTGTTTTGTTTCATTGTTTGTCAAGCCATTTGACTGTGATATGCTTAGTTTGTGAGGTTCTTTGTGTCTGGCTTGGGGTTCACCAAGCATCTTGGTGATCTAAGTTGATGGGTTTTTGTTGTTGTTGTTGTTTTACACCAAATTTATGTTGATTTTCCATTGTGTGCCAAGTGTGTTTTTCCCCCATCTTTCACTCCTAGGACTCATTTACACATATGCTAACCCAGTTGAAATTGTTCCATACGCCTTCTGGGCTTTGTCCATCCTTTTGTAATCCCTTTTTCTCTGCTCTTCAGATTGGATAATTGCTATTGAGCCGTGTTCAAGTTCACTGACTGTGTCTTATGTGGTCTCCAATCTGTTGTTGAGCCCATCCAGTAAATTTTTCATGTCAGATGGTGTTCTTTTCTTTTCTAGAATTTCCATTTGGTCCTTTTTTTTTTTTAAATAAAAAAATATCGTTTCCATTCCTATGCTGAGATTTCCATATATTTCACTCATTATGTCTAACGTTTCCTTTAAGTCCTGTGTCTTCATGTTGTCCGTTTCTATGGGCTGCTTTTTTTTTTTTCCTGGATTATGAGTCACATTTTCCTGCTTCTTACAATTTTTTAAGTGTATACTGGAATTATAGTTAAGTGTATACCAATTATATAGTTGGTAAGTTGTAGGGCATTTGGTTGCCTTCTTTACAGGCTGTGGGGTTTTGTTCTGGCTGTCATTTCCTCCTGATCTGTGAAGCCTGATTTATTCTTTGTTAGGGCTGATCTGTTTCAAGTTTGTCCTTATTCTTATAGCATGGCCTTTTTGATGCTTTAGCTGAATACCTGAAGTGTTAGCGAGGCCTCTTCCTCTGGCTAGATAAGAACTCCTATCTCCCTAGCACCACCGGACCTTGGGTGTCTCTGTCCTGCTCCCAGCCCCACAGCAGCTATTCGCTGGTAGACAGCATGGTGTCTTGGCCTGGGCATGCACAGACCAGCCTTCCGTCTAGGATGCATGCAGCTTCTGGGTCATCCCTCTGTGCAGCCCCTTCTTCTTTAGGGCCCTCCCTGCAAGTTCCAAACCCCACTCTCCATCTCCTCAGCTCCTTGAGACTGCTGTCTTGGCTTAGGCGCGTGCTCCCTGTGCAGGGCCCACAACCTGACCCTGTCAGGAAGCCAGGACCTGGCCCATTTCTCTTTCTCACAGCATCACTCTTCTTCGCTGTATTATTCATTGCCCTCCCCCACAAAAAAATTCCCTCATCTGTTCTGTCCAGTTTTATTGTTTTTAATATCAGCAAGGCAACTCTATTACTCCTTCATGGATGAAAGCAGAAGACATCTACCTGGTTTGAAGAATACTGTTGGATTCTGTATGTAATTTATCAAATTATAAGAAATATTATCCTAATTTAAAACCAAATATCCCCCACTCAATCCCAAGGATGTTTTTTCTTTCTTTGAAAATTATTTGGCAAAGTGTCTGTCCAAATCTTTTGCCCATTGTTAAAGTAGGTTTTTTTTTTAAATTTTACTTTATTGTTATGTTAGTCATAAAGCAGGTTGTTTTATCTTTTTTGTTGAGTTTTAAGAGTTCTTTATATATACTTGATATGTCCTTTATGAAATAATATGATTTGTCAAATAATCTTCTGTAGTTTCTTTTTGTTCTCTTAATAGTGTCTTTCACAGAGCAAAATATTTTAAGTATCCTGAAGTCTAATATATCAATTATTTGTTCTTTTATGGATCAAGATTCTGGGGGGGGTGTGTGTGTGTGTATGTGTGTGTGTGTGTGTGTATTTCTGCCTAATCCAGTGTTAGAGCATTTTCTTATTTTTTGCTAGAAGTTTTATAGTTTTATATTTTACATTTTGAGTTGATTTTTATATAAATTTTGTGTAATGTCTTAGGTGCTTATTTTTGCATGTGGATGTCTATATTACCTATTGCTGCATAACAAATCACCCTGACCATCTTAGCTAAACACAAAGCGACATTTATTATCTCATAGCCTCTGTAGGTCAGGCCACTGGGAGCTGCTGCAATGACTAGCTATGGCTCAGGGCATCTCATGAGGTTGCCAGTAGCTGTGGCTAGTCACCCCAAGGCTCCAGCGGGGACATCTGCTTCCCTGCTCAATCACAGGGCTGTTGGAAGGCCTTAGAAGATTGCCTCTAAGCTTTCCCATGTGGTGGCTGGTGGGCCTGCATTCTTCACTACATGAGCTTCTCCTTAGACTCCCTAAGTATCCTTATCATATGACAGCTAACTTCCACTGGAATGAGTGATCCAAGTTACAGAGTGCAGCCAAGACAGAGACTGTCTTTTTAAACCAAATCTTGGGAGTAACATCCCATCCATGCTGCTGTTGTCTGTTTGCTGGAAGCAAGTCACTGAGTCCAGCCCACAGTGAAGGGGAGAGGAATTAAGCCCTACTCATTGAGAAGGAAAATATCGAAGGGTTTGTGGACACATTTTTAAAGCCACCACAATGACTTGTTCTGGTACCATTTGTTGAAAAAGAAATGGTCTTTTTTTCCATTAAGGTATCTTTTCATCTATGTCAAACATTATTCATGTTTCTGTGCGTTTATTTCTATCATTCTGTTTCATAGGTTATATAACTTTATAGCAAAAATATACACTAATCAAAATTTTATTAAGTTTGAATGGCTGGAGCTCAGAAGGTCCGTTTCACTCCCATAATTACACTGCAGTCTTCTGATGGCCCAGGGGTCTGGCCTCAGAGCCCTGCCATTAACCGCCATGCTAGCCTACCTCAGGGCTCTGTCCACTGATAGCAGGGCACCTGCAGGGAACAACGTGAGCTAGAGATAAGGAGGAGATTTGTAGCTAGGACAGTGGGGTTGTGGACAAGCACTGCTGTATCACCATGACCTTTCTTTTCCTCTCTAAAGGGCTGGAACCCCAGGCTGGGAGCCCAAGAGCATGGCAATAGCTGTCTGGGGTGGAAGCTGTAGGCATCTGGCTAGAGTGTAAGGGTCAATGCTTGGTTTGTAATGTTGTTTTAAAAACAAAGACTAAGGGAAAAACAGAGAAAAGAACCCAGATAACCAAATCCTTCATCCTAGTGGGTTCAATATTGCTCAATTTCTCAAACAAAAGCTATTTCTAAAAGTTTTGTTTTAGAAGTGACTTTGGTTTTCTCTGGTTTAGTAGAATCATGGACAATTTTCATTTTCTTTGTATTTTTCCATAATGTGTACATTTTCTGGAGAGAAGATTATTATCTTTGTCTTTATGACAAAACAACTATTTTAAAGAATAATTTTCAAATGCAGTAAGGAGATATATAACTTAAGGAAATCCACAGTGAGTCTCATTGAAAATATATTATTTTTATTATATAAACTCTTATACCTCTATTTTTTTATGGTCAAAGTTTTATATGTTTACATTTTTTTTCTTAAAGAGAGCATCCTTATACTTCAGTTGATAGAGAAACATATTTTTAGAAACTGCTTGAAAGTTTTCCAGTTTTAATAGGACAACTGTTTTGAAATAGTTATAATTTTTATTGAAAATGTAAAACCCCTTCAGGTGACTTACCTATCTATTTCATGTATCCATTAGATTATCCCTCAGGAGAACGATACCCACTCCAGCCTGACATATAAGTACATCATTCATGAAGATTCTGCACCTACAATCAGCAGCAACAATGTCATCCAGGAAGAATTAGATACTTTTGAGTGGGCTTTGAAGAGCTGGTCTCAGTGTTCCAAACCCTGTGGTGGAGGTAACAATTGAACCCATTTAGTACGTTCAGTGTAATTCATAGAAGGCCAGTTATGGTGCTTTTCCCTTAAAGATTGCCTCTAATTGAGGCCATTATCTGAGAAATACCAAACATAACAACCAAAACATAAGTACAAAGCGTTTTTCCTGAAATCTCTAAATCTACAAAGGATGGATGGGAGTCTGTTCCTAACAACGGTAAACCTTCTTAAAATCCTCTTGCCCTTTTCCCTCATACTCATATGGTGGTACTTTTAATGACTTTACTTTTCCCAAACTCACCCAAATGCAGTGTCCTGTGGTTCTGGCCTTTCTTCTTCTTTTCCACTTTTGCTTTCCATACCTGTGCATTTCTTTTCTATCACTGTTAGTAATAAAAGAGCTATTAGTTGTACCAGGTGGCAGGTACTGTTTTAAATGTTTTAAATGTTCTCTATATTAGTGCATGAATACTCAAAATGGCTCTGTGAGGTCAGCACTATGATTATCTCTGTTGTACTGATTGGAAAACTGAAGGACAGGGAGAAGTCGTTTGCCGACCCTAAGATACAGACCCAGGTGGTCTGGCTTCTGGCTACACGCTCTTACTCCATTGTGCTGCCTCTCTGCCCTTTCTCCAGTAAATCCCATTAAGTCGTTTGCAGAGTTTTTCAGTTTTTCACTGCATCCATTCCTTCTGAACAATAAACGCTCCAGAACTGAGCTGGTCTAGAGAGAATTTTCCCCAACAGGCAGGAGAAGGCAAAGGGCTGAGTCATGATGCTGAGTAACCAAGAACAAAAAAATTATTCAGAGTAGGGAATGCATGCGTCAACCATTTATTTTATAATTCTAAATTCAAGGATGTACTATTTATTTATTTATTTTTTATTTTTTTAAACATTTTATTTATTTGACCGAGAGAGAGAGAGAGAGAGAGAGCACAAGCAGGGGCGAGCCAGAGAGAGAGGGAGAAGCAGGCTGAGCAGGGAGCCCGATGCAGGACTCGATCCCAGGACCCTGGGAGCATGACCTGAGTGGAAGGCAGACGCTTAACCGACTGAGCCACCCAGCTGCCCCAAGGATGTATTTTTAAAGAGGCTTTTTTTTTTGAGGTGAAGGGGACATAAAATGTTTTTAATTATTTAAAATGACACTTAATCCATTACAAAATGCATGTTTAATTTGAATCTTCTCTTTTGCTGCTCCCTCAGCATCTACTTGGTTACAAGGTTTGTCAGACACACCTTTTTAATATCTACCACATCTGTTCCTTCCTCACCAGGTTTCCTTCAAGATTTTGGAAGGGAAGATTATTGCAAAAGTCTTTTAACTAGTCAGCTAATTTGATTTTCTTCTCTTCCTTTATTTCCAGGGTAATCTTGAATGAATGACTGAATGAATGACCAAATGAGTAGTTACAGTATTTGTCTGATTTAAATCTTGTAGCCTCCTAATGTGTTGTCCTGCAGACACCACATCATTTATGTAGTATTCTTGTCAAAAGTGTTTTTGACCTGAATCTAATCACTAGGAGGCAATTAAATAAACCTAAATTATGGGACATTTTACAAAACAAATGGCTTGCACATCTCAAAAATATCCAAGATAAAAAGAGGCTCAGAAACTATTCCTGCTTAATTCCATGACAGCTAAATGCACTGCATAATCCTTGATTGGGAAAACATTGCTATGAAGAACATGATAGGGGCAACTGGCAAATTTTGAATTTGGTCTGTATATTAGATAATAGTACTATATCTGTGTTAAATATTCTGGTTTTAAGAATTATGTAGGAGATGTACTTGTTATGGGCAGTATGCCTAAGTATTTACAAGTGAAGGATCAGGATGCCAGCAACTTACTCTCAAAGGGTTTGGCAAAATTTTATGTATATTATATATATTGCATATTATAATTAAGCTATTACATATGTAAAAATATATACGTATGCACCTCAAATACAGTGACCCGTAATACAAGGTTAATTTAGACGCAAGGCATAACAATGTTCATTGTGCTTTCCTTACAACATTTTTGTAGGTTTGGGATTTTTTTTTTAATTTAATTAATTAATTATTTACAGATGTCAGGGTTGGTGAATGGGGAGACCTTCAAAAACTCCCAGTGACCGCCAAGATAAAAAGTCCAAACGCTAGTCTGGCACTCGAGGCTTTTAGGATTAGATTCTTTCCTATCTCCTATCCCCCTCACACAGGAAACTTCAGCCCTTCAAACAGACCTGCCGTTTTTAACATGTCCTTTCCTTCGCTTGGAGTATTCTTCTGCTTCCTTCCCTTTACCCGACACTGTTTGAACTTGAAGATGCTGATCAAGAAGTGCGGATCTTGTGAGCAGTCCCTGCCCCTCCTCCGGCTAAGTTGAGACCCTCCCCTCTGTGCTCCTTTGGTGCCCTCTACAGTAAATTATGTACATAACCCTCTAAAAGCCTGTGTCCCTGGTACTGTCACAGTGGTTGTTCAGATCTGTCCCTCACACTAGACTGTGTGTTCGGGGGTCTAGTTCATTAGCACATGAACACAACTATATTTAATCATTTGTACTTTATTAAATGTAGGCCCTGAAAAGTTAAGGATTTTGTTTATTTAATTGACTTCTGGACCTTCAGCATCTACAGCAATGCCTGGCTTCCTGTGCTTCCTCAGTCAATATTTGTTGAATGAATGACTGAATGACCACATATGTAACAGGATGAATAAGTGAGTAAACCCAAAGAAATGTGTATCCTTTCCTAGGTTTCCAGTACACTAAATACGGATGCCGTAGGAAAAGTGATAATAAGATGGTTCACCGCAGCTTCTGCGAGGTCAACAAGAAGCCAAAACCTATTAGAAGGATGTGCAATATTCAAGAGTGTACACATCCACTGTAAGCACTTATTTTAACTATCATGTCCTGAGCACAACGTGAGAGGGATTTCAATGTCTCCAGTTCTTTTTAGTTGTAATTTTATTTTTAGTCAAAGCTAATAAACGTACCTGGTTTAAAGAGTCAGATCATTTCACAGGAATTCTATAGAGCTGTGTTTCCCTGCCCTTTACCATACTCCTGCTTCTCAAAAACAACCACGTTCCAGCTATGATGCTTCTTTTGATATTGGGTAACTCCTTGTTTCTAGCTCTCTTAAGTAAAATGTTTTATCATCTACTTGGTTTTGGGGGGTGGGGGAGGTTTTGGATATTATGTATATTATGTATATTGAATTTCCAATGTGGAAAGTGAAGGGTTGAGCATTCTTTTACAATCCGTCCCCAAATATACACCGAGCCCAGACTTCTCTCTTCCCCAGTATTCCCAATATTGTTATAACCTACCTTTTACTGATATTAATCTTCAGAGTTTATATTGTCTTAATGACTTCTGTCTGTCCCAAGAGGTGAGTCATTTGCTGCTCTTTCTTTCCTTGTGAAACTTCCTTTCTTGAGAATTAATGAATATTTTTATTTTTATGCTTTGTTTTCTACTACTTTTCACTAATTCATCCCCATACTGTCTTCCATGAGTATCAATCTCCTATAAATACTAAACACTCAAGTATCCTGTTACGTGCAACTTCTGAGAGATATCTCTTAGAGAATTTTGTGTGTTCCAGCTCTGCCCTGGACTTCTGTTCGTCCTGGGGTGTCTTTTTACCTCTTCCTAGATAATCCTACTGCCTCTCCTTTGCATCGGATCTCCCAATTCCTGCATTTCTTGTCTTCTTACCTTTTCTTGTATTCATTTGTTCTGGTAATCATGTCGTCCGGTAGCTTCATGAAAAATGTATATACAAAGTGAAAATTTTTATCTTAAAAATTCTCTTACATCTAAGAAAAGTAGCTAAGAGGTTAAAGTATAAGTGTATAGGAAGTCTTTCTTCTCTCACTCTTGATCGTTGGGATACATACACATAGAATTCCAAACCGTAATGTATTTTCCTTCAGAATTTTGAAACCATTGTTCCATTGTTTTCTAGATTCCCATGTTGCTGTTGCAAAGTCATTTACTCTTCTGGTTCCCAACGCTTTCTGTTTTTGTTTGTCATTCAAAGTTTGTAGGATCTTCTCTTTGTTCCCGATGTCCTGAAATTTCACAGTGATAGAACTGCCTGTCGATGCTCTACTTTTCTCATCCATTGTGCTGTGTACTCAAAGACTTTTTAAAACACAAAACCAGTATCTTTCATCTCTGGGACATTTTCCTGTGTTTTTTCTTTGAAAATTTTCCCCTATTTTTTCAATATTCTTTCTAAGATATTTGTAGTTAGGATTCTTAAACAGATCTGATTCTCTTTTCTTTTCTCATCTATTGTTTATGGTTCTACTTGCTGAATTTTTCATTTTTACTATTGTGTTACTATCCAAGAGCACTTTAATATCTAAGCACTCTGTTTTGTTCCTCACGTGTTCCTTTTTTAAGGCATTGGATGCTTATTTCACAGATGTAAATATTCTTTTATCTGTTTTATATTAAAGATTTTCTTTTCCATGCATTATTTCTTTTGAGTTCTTTTCCTCTGTTTCTTTTTTCCCCCTCCATGATTTGTGTTAGAGGCTTTTCTGGGTCCGCTGATTGCTGGCTCTTCATGCACGTCAGAATACAGTATTAAAAGGCTGCTTGGAAGTTTGCTTTATGGTCAAGACTTGCTTGCTGGTGGGCTTCACTGTAGGACAAGCTGGCTGGACTCTTTCATTGAAGACCCTCAGTGTATATTTAGGGCTTTTTAAGGAAATGATCCAATGCCAAAGAGCAGCATCAATCGTCTGCCTAGGGAGCGTAAGCCTATTTGATAGCTGTTCTGGAAGTCATTGCACCATTCCAGTTGTGGATTCTTACCTAGCCCCTGTTTTCACTCTGGTCTCTTTCTCTATTGTCTTTTGACTATGTCTGTTGTCCACAAGCTAAAGGTCTCGTTCATCTTCCACCAAGGATAAACGTCAGACCTTCTGCTGGGTTAGAGGAGGGGCAATCCACAGGTGGGGGTAAGGATCAGGAGGTGGACGTGTTTGCATGCAGACTTTTCCTCAGTCCCCTGTTTTCAGCCCTGCCTTCACCCAGTTTCGCAGTGCACACTTTCCACCTGCGGCCACAATCCAGCACGTTCCTGGAGTTCTGCCACCAAGTCAGTCTGCTTGCCAGCTTCTACGGCTGAGTTAAACTTCATCCCTCTTAGGTCTGCTGAGCTGGTAGCCATATGTCCCACTGCTTATCTTTTGGGGCATTCTATCCAATTTTTTTTTTTTTTACCTTTGTGGATTTATGCCATTTTTCTCCTTTGTTGTCATTCTAGGAATTCCAGGAGGAACTAAACTTAACCAGGAGTATCTATGACTACGAAATGTATACTTCTCATATAATATCTGTCTTCAAATGAGAGTTGCTATTGAGGGCTTTACAATTGCTTAGTTGCCACAAACATTCTACTGCCAGTTTGACACTCGTCAAAGCCATCCTAAGCTGGGGATAGCAAAGACTGCCAAGGTTTTAGCACGGTTATATTTTGATGCCCCTTATATGTGAAAAGAAAAAAAAAAAGGCAGAGGGAAAGTAACTCTGGAAAGGATAAAGAGTATGCCTCAAGTACATTCTGACAGATTGAGGAACCAGATGGAATCACTGGGAACGGCCCCTTGGGACCACACGTAGCCACATGTCATGGAGACCTGTCCCTGATAATGCAGCCACAGCCGATGTGGAGAGTGCTGGGGCCATTGACGTCGCCCCAGAATTGGGGAATGTCTCATGGGAAATCTTTTTTGAAAATATCTTTTTAGAAATCTTTCTATCAGGTGCATTCAAGCCCCAGATGCACACTACCTTTACCTTTTTGTCGGGCCTCATAAGGGCCGCTATGAAGAACTGAATTTTCCAAACAGGATAGGTACATCAGGCAGCCTTCTCGGGGGCAATTGTAGAAATGAAACTGTCATCTCAGATTCTTAAATCGTGAGGAAACTCAGGATTTCATGGAAAAGCAGCAGCCGCCAAAGCAGTTTGTCTCAGCAAGTATCAGATGGATTGTCTTTCTAAATTTCCTTTCAGATGATTAACACCTTGAGGCAGTGTGGCTGAGAGCCCGCTGGTGTGTTTCTGAAAAACTGCCATGCTGCCCGCACCTAACCCAGCAACCTTCAGATGAGTTTCAGAAACCCTCTGTCGGTGGATCCTCCTTTAGAGAAAGAGGTTATGCCAGATCACAGGGAGACAGAAAAATACCCAGGCATTAAACACAGAAGTGCCGGGCCTATTGCTGTTAGAAAATGCTCAGACTTTGGACTTGGTGGATGCGTCCCTCTTTCTGAAACTGCTTCCTGAGCCGGAGCGTGCCCCCCGCCCCGGGGCTGCCCGTCACCCATGGCTCAGGGTAGGGGGGGGGGCGGGGCAGCCGCTCCAACTGGGCCGCCCCCCTCCCCCCCCCCCCCCCCCCCCGCGCTGCAGCTGGGTCGCCGAGGAGTGGGAGCACTGCACCAGAACCTGTGGGAGTTCCGGCTACCAGCTCCGCACCGTGCGCTGCCTGCAGCCGCTCCACGACGGCACCAACCGCTCGGTGCACAGCAAGTACTGCTCTGCCGACCGGCCAGACAACCGGAGGCCCTGCAACCGCGTGCCCTGCCCCTCCCACTGGAAAACAGGGCCCTGGAACGAGGTGGGTGCGCGCGCGCCCGAGAGAGAGAGAGAGAGAGAGAGAGAGAGAGAGAGAGAGACTGAGAGACTGACTGTGTGTGTGCACGCGCGGAAGCCTGCGTGGCGTATTTTAATTTGGCTCACGTATCAGGTAGGCGTTGTGTGAGTTGAGATGCGGCCGCAGATTGTGTCATCGTCAAGCACCTGGAGGTGCCAGGAAACAGGGTTTTAGAACAGTGCTCGCATTTAGGATGAGTTGGTAGGGGCAAACCACCTTTGGGTGTGTTGTGACATAGAGGCACGTCTAAAGTTGACTGGTCTCCTGTTTCCTGTCTTCGTTGACTTCACACCATTCCTACGGGATGAATTCCAAACGCCTGACAGTGCATGCAGGGCCCTGCCCCGTTTGGCACCATGGTAACTCTTCTCCTTCTCCTCCCCCTCGGCCTCCTCCAACCCCCACCCCCACTCCTCCTCCTTTTATTTCTTCAGGTCTAACTGACATAACACTATATATCAGTTTCAGGTGTACACGGTAATGATTCAGTATTGGTATATATTGCAAAATGTTCACCACAACAAGTCCCACGCTAACTCTTCTTGCTCTGTTGTTCTTTATTCCAACTCTGTGTTCCAGTTTGAGAACCTCCTTGCTATTCCAAAAAGACCATGCTCAATGGAGTCTCCCCACCTTTTCGCTGATGGCCCTACCCCCACCTCCTGACTCACCACCTCCTCCTCCTCCACTAGGGCTCATCTCCAGGGTCCAAAATACCACCTGCCAGGGCTGCCTTTCCCACAGTCCTCCCTCTACATTCCAAAAACAAAGAGGCCTACCTCTAGTATGCCATTCAAGACAGAATACTGTAACTTCTGTCTTGGAGTCGGTGCTGCAGCTGGTCCACACATTTCTCGAAGACTCTGTGTTGCTTCCCCACTACACAGCCAGGACCTGCCCAGTTGATGTTTGTTTGCTGACTCAGTATCGTGTGGCCTGAATTAATCCCACACCTTTGGTATTTCTAAAAATTCAAAAGGAGAAAAGTTTATAGGAGGAAAGGACATCACAAAGCAGAGAATGAAGGAGGAAGTGGAAAGCAGGCCCAGGAAGGAAGGAACAGGCGAGTGAAGGTCACCTGCATGGGACCAGAAAGATAACTCCCATCTCCTTCTCCTCAGGGTCCTGGAACAAAGGCCCCTCCTCTCTAGCTCCTACCTGGAACAATGGCTTAGATGGTCCTGGGCTTAATTTTAGAGCAGTTAGCCCCTTCATTAAAGAAATTAATTGATGGGAATAAAATAATCATAGTTCCAAAGAGGTTGAGTTAACCGAGGTAGCCTGCCAGTAAGTTCTACCATCAGTAAGGAAGGTGAAAGAACGGGAAGGTGAGTAACAGGATCTCTCCCTGAAAAGAGGGGCCACTACTGTTTTGGGAGAACTTTTGCAAGTATTAACATTACAATAATGGCCTCTTGCCTGTCACTTGCTTACTGCCTGTGGGGCACAAATGCTTTACAGACTGTCGTTTGCCTTCATTTAGTCCAACAGTCCTGAGGCAAGTGTTAACCTTCCCAGCTTTCAGAGAAGCTGCCCTGTGCCCAGGGCAGGCTGGTCAGTCTTGCAGTCAGGTTCTAAACCTATGATTGTCTGTCTCCAAACAAAATGGAGAAGGAACTACAGAGCTGTGCAAGCGTGTGTGTGTGTGTGTGTGTGTGTGTGTGTGTGTGTGTGTGCGTGTGTGTCTAGGCAGGGGAATAATATATTCCTGAATAATATATTCCTGAAATACCGTGCGCATGTGCATCCACAGGGAGAAAGGTGGTCTTTGGTGGAATAAACCTCTATAACCATAGCCTTTGTTTCTCTAGTGTTCGGTAACCTGCGGGGAAGGAACGGAGGTGAGGCAGGTCCTCTGCAGGGCGGGAGACCACTGTGCAGGGGAGAAGCCCGAGGCCGTCAGAGCGTGTCAGCTGCCTCCCTGTAATGGTAGGTGTGACGCCGATTGGTTTCACTGTTCTGACAATAGTTTTGAAGCCTCAAAAAGCAGAATTTCAGGATAAACTCTGGAATTTCTGTTTGCTTATCCAAAAATAACCTAAGGAGCACACTCCTGACACATGAGCCTAATCCTCTTCTTTCATATCAGTGTTTGAGGCAGTGTCCCATGCCAGTGAGGTAGCATAACCCCCGTGGCATCCCTGGTTCCTGTCAGGGTGAGGGCACGTCGCGTCTGTGAATCTGCTGTCGATTTGTTTTTCAGGTGGAAGCTACTTATTTTCTCTCTGTGCCTTTGTAATTTAGCATCATTGTAAAAGGCATAATATTGCAGAAAGTTTTGAAATATTTTTTCTGTAATTATCCAGTTTAGACATGTGGATGATCAGTGCCATTCACAAAGCCATTTCTGTGGGGCGCCTGGGTTGGCTCAGTCGTTAAGCGTCTGCTTTCGGCTCAGGTCATGATCCCAGGGTCCTGGGATTGAGTCCCGCATTGGGCTCCCTGCTCAGCAGGAAGCCTGCTTCTCCCTCTCCCACTCCCCCTGCTTGTGCTCCCTCTCTTGCTGCCGTGTCTCTCTCTGTCAAGTAAATAAATAAATCTTTATAAGTACAAACAAAAAAACAACAACAACAAAAACCAAAGCCATTTCTATTACCTCTCCATCCATATACACGCCCTTCAGCAAGGCAGTTTGGGAATAGACACTTGCACGCCTGCAAACGTTTGCCTAACCTTCCTCCTCGCTATTTCACAAGCGCAGAGCGTATTTTAAACTATATATCAGTTTGCTGTTGTGACAGGAAATATGTATGGGATGGCAGCCATTTCTGTCACTCTGTCCCTCTTCCTCCTTTTCTGTGCTCCCTCTGTCTACATGCATCTCTGTCCTCTGCCTCATTTTGTATCTCCATTTGCTGTCCTCTGTCTCGTTCTCTGTGCTGGTCCAGCCTGGCTGCCTGTCTCCGACTTTGCTGTCGTCTGCCTCCTGCGGTTGCTCACTTTTCTCTGCGTCTGTCACACATGCTTTCTGACCTCGCCTCCCTCTTCCACACTCTCCCTCTCCCCCCACCCTCATCGCCTGTTTTTCTCCTTCTTTTCGTCTCCTCTTGTCTCTCTCCTCGTCTCTTCCTGTCTCCTTTTTCCTTATTGACCTCTGTCTCTCCCTGACATCTCCGCAGCTCTGCCCACCTCCTGTGTCTGCCTGTGTCTCTCCTTCACGCCCACCTGGCCCTTTCTCGGGGTCCTCCTGCCCTCTCTCCCCCTCCTCGTCCCTCTGCCTTTCTCGCCCACTCTGTCTGTATCTGTCTCTTCGCCTCCCTCACTCCCGTCTCTCTCCTCTCCATCCCTTGTCTTCCTCACCTTCTTTCTTCCTCCTAGCCCCCACGTCTCTGCTCTCAGACTGTGTCCGGCTCTTCCTTCTTGTCCCCCGCACTGTGCCGTCTGCTGTCTGCTCTCTCTCTCTTCCCCACCTCACACCATCTCCCCCTTCTCCTGTTTCCTCACCCACCCCACTTCTGCCATCACAAGCTTCCCCTTAAACGCCGCTTCCCTGAGTCTGTAGCTAATGACAACTGGATGTTGCTGTCACACTAGTGAGACTTGGAACTAAAGAAGTTGCCTTTTTATGGCCTACAGCCTAGGAAGCCATTAACTAAATATTGACATCTGCTGCGTGGTACTTTCTTTTTTCAAGAAAATTGTCAAGGCACTGTTTAATCAAATGTCTTTTTTTTTTTTTTTTGAGGAAATTTCAGGTCAAGTTGTAAACCTTATAAACTATTGCATTATAAATTCTCATTTGAAATGTGTGGTAGCAAGAACAAGTATGGCCATGAGGGGGAGACAAAGGACTTAGATAGTTAATCATTTTTCTCTGGAAAATATAGTTGAAAATTTAAAACACAAGACAAAGCCAACAGAACAAACTTTACCCGGTTAGAAGCTGTAAAGTTTACTGTTGCCATAATATTTTACTCTTCTGTATTACTGCCAAGAGGCTAAAAACTTTGTGAGTACACTTGACTGTTCTTAATAGTTGGTAGAGCGATGCATTTCTGCAAATATGCCCAGTTGTCAGCAAGAATCGCTTGATCCTCTTCCTCTGGCTAAACGAGACTCTGTCTGATTGTAGAATAGAGGTACAGATGGCATGGCATAACTACGCAGGGATTCCACAATGTTTTAGGGGCTGTATTGCTCTGACATCCAGGTCCGACAGCCAATTCTATGAGGTCTAAAAGGCCATACATTTCTTTTTTTTTTTTTTTGAAGATTTTATTTATTTATTTGACAGAGAGAGACACAGCGAGAGAGGGAACACAGCAGGGGGAGTGGGAGAGGGAGAAGCAGGCTTCCCACAGAGCAGGGAGCCCGATGCGGGGCTCGATCCCAGGACCCTGGCATCATGGCCTGAGCTGAAGGCAGACGCTCAACGGCTGAGCCACCCAGGCGCCCCAGACCATACATTTCTATCACACATTTCAACTAATAATTCCCATCAGTCTCACACTGCAATTAAAATCAAATGACTTTTTGAGACTATGTGTAATACCCTTTTCCTGAACCTCGTATAATGATCTGGGCATGGAACTAGAAGGCTGAAAAGCTTCCTTAATTTACTGACTGGGTTTGTCATGTGAGTCCTTTCCCTAAGCCCCATTTTGATTGTACAATTTCATTGTCGCTGTTAAGCTCTGCCCATCTATCCTGAGACAAATTACCATAAAGTGAATGTATCCCTTTGCTCTTATCTCTTTTTTCTTTTTTCTCAGAATATCTCATCCTTTTCCTCGTCTATACAGAATGGCCCTAACTAGATCATGTTTTGAGCCAGTCCTTGCAGTGCTGAGGTGCTCACACAGAGGCGAGCCTCGTACATGAACTCCTCTAACACAGAGAGACTAGGTTATGCTTTGAGCTGGGCCATGGAAAGGGGGTGAGGGGGTGACGGGTCAGAGGGAAAAGGGAGTACAGGGTCAAATAAAGTCCTCTCATCACAGGGCCTAGAGCCTTAAACATACAGGAAGAAGAAATCAATATTCTTTTTTTAAGATAATACGCATGGAAAAAGTAATTCAGAAATAATAGGGATATTTGAGGGGACTCCAATTAATGTGATGTGCAGGCATTCACAACATAATTAGATGATTACCTTAGCTAATATGAAATATTCAGACATGTCATACTATCTAGTAGATCTATAAATGCCAGGCAAACACAGGTCATTCCAAAATTTGGAACGGGACATGGTATTATAACTCTAATGGGTAGTTTTATAATTAATTTTATAATTTGTAATTGGTAACAGATATAGGTGGTAATTTTAGCTCTCTCGGTCTTGCCAACTGACCTTTTTTTTTTTCAAACTTTAGAAAAAAAAGATTCTTTAATTTCTCTAACCATTTATATACAGGTTCCTTACCTAGCAATAGAGCAGCATTCCCCAATAATACATTGTAATTTTAAGTGATTATAGTACATAAGTGCCACCATTTACAATTCTTTGTGTTTACAAATCAGACATAGTTGTTGCACGATGTTGGTGGGCTCTGCATAGGATGTGCCCTAAAATGGATGAAAATAAGTACAAACTAATGTGTCCATGAGTTCAACATTTGGATTTTTTGAAATCTAATTCTTATAACCTGTACTCAAAAAAAATTTAAAAATAATAAAAAGAGTGTACACACACGTATCAAATGTTTTGAGTGTTACTTTAGTACTCTTTAAATGTAAAGTGTTATCAATTCAGTGAAATTAAATTTAAAAACTATGAATGATTCAAAAGAAAGTTGGCACACTTTACCCAAATTTATGCTTTTAAATAATAGTCTGAGAATATTTGATAGTAAAAATGAAACTATTGCATTGACTCTGGATGTTACCTTGGTTTTTCTTTTGGTAATATGTTTTTAAGATTTAATTTGTTCCAATAGGGCCTTAGAATTTATTTATTTATTTATTTATTTATTTATTATTATTTTTTAAAAGACCTTATTTTGGAGAGAGAGCGAGCAAGCAAGGGGGAGGGGCAAAGGCAGAGAGAATCTCAAGCGGGTGCCTGCTAAGCACTGAGCCTGACGCTGGGCTCAATCCCAGGACCCTGAGATCCTGACCTGAGCTGAAATCAAGAGTCAGACGCTTAACCAACTGAGCCACCCAGACGCCCCTGTTTATTATGTTTTTTTTAAAGGTTTATGAGAGAGAGAGAGAGAGAGAGAGAGAGCAGGGGCCAGGGGCAGAGGGAGAGGGAGAGAGAGAATCCCAGGCAGATTCCCCTGATGAGCAGAGAACCTGATGCGGGGCTTGGGCTCAAAACCCTGAGATCGTGACCTGAGCCGAAATCATGAGTCAGACGCTTAACCAACTGAGCCCAGGCACCCCAGGATTTATTTTGATTTTAAATTTAAATTTAATGTAGAAGCTAATCTATTAGAAAGCCAGAAATAGCATAAAGTTTAAAAAAAAAAGTCCCTTTATATCCTAAAAAATATCTGTGGCAAAATGAATCCTATTTCCTCATTCTAAAGTCAGATATAGGGGCTCCTGGATGGCTCAGATGGTTAAGCGTCTGCTTTTGGCTCAGGTCATGATCCCGGGGTCCTGGGATCAATCCCCGCATCGGGCTCCTTGGTCAGGGGGAAACCTGCTTCTCCCTCTCCTTCTACTACTCCCCCTGCTTGTGCTCTCTCACTCTCTCTGTCAAAGAAATAAATAAAATCTTTAAAAATAAATAAATAAAAATAAAATCAGATATAGGTTCCTCCTAGGAAGAGAGAAGTACCTTCAGTCTGCAGACTTGATGGAGATATGAAAATGGTGGTCAACCCAAGTGCTTTGCACAGAAAAAAACTACTTATTTTAGTGAATTTATCTAAATGTTCATATTTGTTTATTGAGGTATAATTGACATATAGCATATTAGTTTCAGGTGTATAATATAATGATTTGATATTTTTATATATTATAAAGTGATCACAACCATAAGTCTAGCTAATGTCTATCACTATATATAGTTATAAAATTATTTTTTCTTACCATGAGAACTGTTAAGACCTATTCTCTTAGCAGTTTTTAAATATGCCATACAGTATTATGAACTGTAGTCACCATGTGTACATTACACGCCCATGACATGTATTTTATAACTGGAAATTTCTACCTTTTGACCCCCTTCACCCATTTCACCCACTCCAACCCCCGCCACTGGCAAACACCAATCACTGCATCAAGGAGCTTTTGTTTTTAGATTCCAGATACAAGTGAGACCATGCAGTATTTGTCCATCTTGGTCTGACTTATTTCATTTAACATAATGTCCTCAAGGTCCATCCATGTTGTAAATGGCAAGCTTTCATTCTTTTTTATGTCTGAATAATATTCCACTGTATACATACACCACAATTTCTTTATCCATTCATCCATCCATTGATAGTTAAGTTTTTTCCATATCTTGGCTATTGTAAACAATGCTGCAGTCAATATGGGGGTGCATATATCTTTTGGAATTAGTGTTTTCCTTTTCTTCCGATACATGCTTTTGGGACTTACTGGATCATATGGTAGTTATATTTTTAAATTTTTTTTGAAGAGTATCTGTACTGTTGTCCACAGTGGATGCACCAGGTTTACATTGTCACCACGAAGCTTCGTATTTTTAATGCAAAGGCTCATTTGGGCAACTACCAATTAATGTCAGATTTTACTTGAAATTTTTTATATTCTGAAACAGTTTTCATTTCTTCCTTTTGTTTTCTGTTTCGATGTGTGTGTTGTCTTTGAACCTTTGCAGATGAGCCGTGTTTGGGAGACAAGTCCATATTCTGTCAAATGGAGGTGCTGACGCGATACTGCTCCATACCAGGTTATAACAAGTTATGTTGTGAGTCATGCAGTAAGCGCAGTAGCACCCTGCCACCCCCATACCTTCCAGAAGCTGCAGAAACTCATGGTGATGCTGTCTTTAACCCTAGCGACCTCCCTGGAGCTCTAGTGATGCCTACATCTTTGGTTCCTTACCATCCGGAGCCCCCTGCAGAGAAGAAATCTCTGAGTAGGCTATCTTCAGTGGGAGGTCCAAATGCCTTCACTGCTTCCAGGCCACACAGTAAACCTGATGGTGCTAATTTCCCCCAGAGGAGAGCTCAGCAAGCAGCAAGTAGGACTCTGAGACTGGTGTCCCCGGCCACCAGGAGTGGCGCCCTCAACTCCTCCTCAGAAGTGCCTACTGCCCGCCTCCTCGCAGTGAGTGATTCCACGGGTGCTGCTTCTCAGGCAAGAACCTCAAAGAAAGGTGACAAAATTGCTGACAAGAGCCATCCGGTCAGATCATCCGCTTTGGAAAGATGAGAACGCGAACCTCCAAGGCTCGAAATCAGAGGAGAACCCTGGACAGGCCCCCTCTCCCCGTGGTGCATACAGCTTGTTGAAAGTGTATATCTCCGTAAATTGTCAACTCATTTTGTCTGTGAGTGAAGAGCAAAAAGTGCTGGTTCACTTTCTCGTTGCTTTCATCCTCCTTTTGTTCCACATTGACTCATTGACCAGAAGTCATTGGAAGAAAGCACCAAAGATGATTAATAGAAGGAAAGTAAGTTGCTAAGTGTGTTGGTCACTCTCTCATGCCGCAGAGGGACTGGAACCAATTATGTATCTCGGCTGATTTTTTTTTTTTTTAAGTTACACTAAAAATAAAAAAAAAGAGGTGCCAACAGTTTACACTTTAACAAAATATTTTGGAAATGGAGCAAAAAATTCTTAGACTTGTATTCCTATTTATCTATATTAGAAGTATTGTATGAGCGAATTTGCAGCTGTTGTGTAAATACTGTATATTGCAGAAATCAGTATTATTTTAAGAGATGTGTTCTCAAATGATTGTTTACTATATTACATTTCTGGATGTTCTAGGTGCCTGTTGTTGAGTATTGCCTTATTTGACGTTCTATGGGTTGATTTTCGAAGCAGAATTTTATGAATAAGAAGTTAGAATTGTAGCTACTGACAAAGGGTTTTGTTGTGTGGTTTTGTCTAATCAACAGTGTGATACCTAAATTACAGAAAAAGAAAAGTCACAAATGCTGCGGATATACAGATTCCAGCTTCCCTATTACCTTCCACTTTTTAAATAAAAAGTAGGATTGATGTGTCAGTCGACTAGGGCTCACAGGGACAGAGACTAGTAAGTTAGCCTGTGCAAGACGAAATTAAAACCCTCTTACCAGGACCTCAGTAAGCACCTCCGAAGTGTCCTGGGTTCTTGTGTTGATTTGTCTTTTCCCTTTGTTGACATATACAAACGGCTATACTCAATGTACTGTAATAATAACAAAAGAAAAATGTTTTGAGATAATTTGTTTGTATGTTGGTAGCTGAGAAAAGCATCATCGAACTAGAATTGACACCCGAGTATAATAGGGCTTTGGGGCTTTGGAGGAAAATTCAAGATAGGATTTGTCAGTGGTCGCAATATTTATTTTCTGCATGGTCCATATTCAAATGTTCACAACCACAATGCATCTGACTGCAATCATGTGCTAGTAATTTATGTCAGTGGTCACCTTGCTCACAGTGAAGCCAGAAATGCTCTCTCCAGGGAGTAGATGTAAAGTACTTGTATATAGAATTCAGAACTGAAGATATTTATTAAAAGTTGATTTTTTTTCTTGATAGTATTTTTATGTACTAAATATTTACGCTAATATCAATGGCATATTTCGGTAAACTAGAGAGACATAATTAGAGATGCGCATTTTGTGCGTGGAGGAGAAAGGTCAGCGAACAACAACAGCCAAAGCAAAGAGCTAAAATTCGACAAATTTGATGTCACGCAGACTTTTTGCATTTTTAAAGTAGTTGATACAAAGTTAATGACTTGTTCCCTTTCGTTGAAACAAAATAGTAGAGGCCCAGATAGCTGTTTAATGAAATAGTGAATTAGAAACATTTTTTTAAAGGATCTGAAAGAGATCAATACTGAAAAGAAAAAAAGGAAGTGTTGTTGTGAGCATAATGTTCTTGAGGTCAGTTCCTGAACTGTCTAAAACTATATAATGCAAATGAACTCTAGAGATGTTAACCTCTGTAAGCACAGAATGTGCAAGGACTTTTGCCTCACAGCTTCACCTGTTGCCTCTATACCTCTAAAGAATCGCTGCTACTTCGTGCAAGACTTTTTAAAGTTTCAATGAATTAGGTGAATTCCAGATCATCAAACAATCTCTGAGCCTCAAGTAGAAGTCATTTCCACCCCCTCAAAGTTTTCCCAGAACGAAATTCTCTCTAGTTTGCTTGCATATGTATGCATCTGGTCCACAGGAGAACGCAGAGAAAGATGATCACACACATACACCTCCCAGAAAGATGTATCTATTTGTTATACTTCTGATCTTTGAGCTTCCTTTTCTACTAGGCTAAAAATTCCTTTTTATCCAGGTGTACACTACTGATGCCGTTTGTTGTATTGAGAGCACGTAGCAATAAAAACGTTAACAAAATCTAGACCCGGCTCGATCTAGATCTTATCATCACATTCATCGCTGAGCAATGAAAACTTTTCTTTCCTCCTACGAAGTTGAAATAGTGTCAAATTCATTAGCTACTTGGACTTTGTCCAAAGAGGCTCAAAGAAAGCAACGGTGTCTCCTATCCTCACACCAAGGTGTATCACAATATTTTTTTTAATTAAAAGAAAGGGAGACTATGAGTGGTGGCTTTTTGCTTAAATCCATCCCCCAGAACTATGAAGATGCAGAGAGGAAAGGGCAATAATGCTAGGATGTACGAGGAGGAAGAGGGGGGTGGGGACTTCTGTCTTTCAAATTTGCAATCTCAGAGTGGTTTTTAAAGAAAAGCTGCCCAGCAGCTTTAGAACCCTGACGACCTGAGGACTGCTGGGAACACGTGACACCGGAGTTGGGAGCATGGGCAGAAGCAGGGCATCAAGGAGGTGGTGGGCGGTGGGGTGGCGGCTTTCCTTATGTCACAGGGACGTACTGTATTGTCACGGTTACCAGCCTAAAGGGCAAAAGCAGACCAGCTCAGGTTGGAACTGCGCCTGTACCCTTACACCTGAATGATCCTGGGTGACCAGACTATAGTCAGCTTCCTCACCTGTAAAATGGGAGGCAGAACTGTCAAAACATCATTGCATGATTGCCATGAGAAGCGAGAAAGTAAAGTTGTTAGCACGGGGCTTGACACCTAGTAGCTCTCAATAAATATTAAGTATCATCATTGTCCTTATATTACCCCCATGCTCCTCCTCCTCCTCTTCATTAAGTGACCAAACCACAGCTTTCCTGTAGGGTCCACAGCTAGTTTGAATCATGGTCACTGAGTCTCCTTAATGGCGGTAAAGAACATAGTGTCAGGAATCCTAAAGACAAGCACTTTGGCTTTAAAAATTAATAGGAGGGACAAACTCATTAAAAATGATCTCCAGTCATCGGTTTTGAAAAATTTTAGCTAATTACGTCCACTCTCCCTTCACAAACAATAAGTAGTCAAACTAAAGAATGACGATTAATTCTGTATTTCTGCAAAAATGGCCCGTGATGAAATAATGCCCCAGATTATTAGCAAATAAAATGTTTTTCATGTATTTACATTAATACACTTTGCAGAAATATCAAGTCATTCCTTTAAACATAGCTTATCATGAATAAGCTGCTTAAATATATGATAGAAAAAAATCACTTGAAGAATGATGAAGCGTGGACAACCAAAAAGGACATCACTTGTGACAGAAGTATTCAAAGGGTAAAAGTAAAAGGTTAAAGTAAAACTACTTTTTAAAATGCAATAAAATATAAAAACCGCCCAAGGGTACATAGGCACTATCAACACATCCAACTAGTATCAGAAAACATTCGTTTTGGGCCCTGATACTTGAGAAATTTATTTAGATCTAACGACAATATTCAAAAATTAATTAAAATACTGCCTACCGAGCAAAGAAAGCATAATCTAAAATGAATTTGCCATCAAAAACACAAATTCTAAAACAAACCAAAATGCTATCAGTTTCTGCAAAATCATCAGAGAGTTCACCTAGGTATTAGAATTACTCCTTGAATTCCCCCATCTCGATAAATGGCAAGAGCATAAAAAGTTGCCCATCTTCTTCACCAAGACACTAAGGTTCCTCGTAGGAGCGCTGGGAACATTGATTCTGCCTTTGGTCCTCCCTCTTGTTCTCCCCTGGGTCACACAGATGGCGCCACTTTAGATAACTACCCTGTAACCTCTCCGCTGTGCTCCTCGCTCCATAAAAGCTGGGGATTAAGGTCCAGATACTGGCATCGGATGGGAGTGCTGCTTGGCTTGTTTGGTCCGACCGCCTGCTTGATTGTCCCTGTCTGTAAGTTACCCTGGGTAAAACTGTGTGAACGGTATGGAGGGGCTCGCTTCTTTTTCTGGTATTGCGATGCCTTCTCAGGTGGAGGATACATTACTGACCCTCCTCCACCCTCTAACAATTGGTTACTCCACTGGATACCGAGAAAGAAACAAGCATGAGAGACGGGGCTGAGCGGCGGAAAGCCCTTTGTTCCTGGGGGAGCACCCAAGCTGGCCAGCCACCGCCATGTGGGGGCACTTGGCCAGGTGTTCTGAGCATTTTGGACCAGTGCTTGAGTACAGATGCCCTAAAAACACCCGTGGGATTGCTAGCTATCCTGTCTGAAACGGGTGGGGAAGCACCAAGGGAAGGGCCGAGAAGGGGTGGCAGCTCAGGTGTCTTCACTGTGGGATCCTGGGAAGATGATATTGAAGACCGTTTGTTACCGTCAGCGGGGGGCACGACATGGTGCCTGTAGTATCTGTCCTTGCCCTATGCTTGCTTAGCCGGTCACTACAGTAGTCTCTGGGTGGCTGACTTCAGGAAAGCCTAAAGAATCTGTCAAAAGGGAAATAGATGGATTGAAAAACAGGGAAAAACAAAGGATATTGCCGATAATAAAATGGAAAGGGGGCCCATCTGGTAAACAGTTGTGGCAAGAGCTAATATCTGGAACCCTGAGAGAAAATCTAGACAAACAACCTAATTTGGTTTTGCTAAGCCTAAGGAAGGTGTTGCCTAAGGGAAAGCAGTTTACTCCCTTGAAGGAAGTCTTAAGAAGCCAGGGGTGTTGCAGAGTGCCCCTCCAATAAAGAGGTGGATATCCCCTACCACTAGAGACTGGGGGCTAGGCCAGTGTCGTGCCCTCTAGCGTATGTAATAGGGGGCAGCCGGAGGCCCCATGGTGAATTAACCATTTACTGGTCTGGCACTAACGGACAGACCCTACTAGCTCTAATAAACAGTGGAGCTGAAAGCACACTTATCTTTGGAAGCCCCCTCAAAATTT